GGGTCTTACAACGAGTGGTTCTTACATCCAGGGGTCTTACAACCAGGGGTTCTAACAACCAGGGGTCTTACAACCAGGGTTTCTGATAACGAGGGGTCTTACAACCAGGGGTTCTTACAACCAGGGGTCTTACAAGCAGGGCTTCTTACAACCAGGGGTTTTTACAACCAGGGGTCTTACAACCCGGGGTTGTTACAACCAGGGGTCTGAAAACCAGGGGTTCTTACAACCAGGGGTTCTTACAACGAGGGGTTCTTTCAACCAGGGGTCTTACAACCAGGGTTTGTACAAGGAGGTTTTTACCACCAGTGTTTCTTTAGGCAGGGGGTTCTTCCAACCAGATGTGTTTCAACCAGGTGGTCTTAAAACCATGGGGTCTTACAACCAGGGGTACAACCAGTGGTTTCTTCAAGCAGGGATCTTAGATACAGGGGTTCTTACCACAGGTTGTCTTACAACCAGGGATTTTTACATGCGGGGGTGTTACGACCAGGAGTTCTTACTTCTAGGGGTTTTTACGACGTGGGGTTGTTACATCGAGAAGTTCTCCTTCCAGGGGTATAATGTCCAAGGGTCTTACATGCAGGCGTTATTACATCCAAGGGTTTTACATCTAGTGGTCGTTACATCTGAGGTTTCCATCCGAAGGCGAACGGTAAGGACGCCGTCATTACCTTTCACCTGGCTTCGTTGTGTGGTGCAGTTATTTTCAAGTTCAGAATTGAAACTTTACGCAACGCCTGACTACACACACTTAAAGTAATGCGCAGTAGGTGATGCGCAATTCAAAAAAGGGAATTGCTGCAAGTGAGGACCCATTCTCGTCCCCAGAGGCACTCGGCTTAACTTTTAACAAGACCACGTGACCAAGAAACGACGGGCTCTGGGGACGAGAATGCTGATGACTAAGAGAAGGAACGCTTCGAATTACCTAGTGGATTTTAAATTATGTTAAACATAAGGATTCGTATTCAACCCGATTTTTCGAGATTCCGCTATCAAATACAGCTTGCACCATCCACAAATCTTAAAGCGGTGCTGGGGTTTTGCCAGCCTTTTCTCGGTCTTTCATTAAGATAGAGGATCAGACGTTTAGTCAGTTTGTTGGTTCTGCAGATAGTGTGATAAGATAATTTGCCTTCATATTGTCGATCGCAATTCAAACAAACAAGATTACGGAGCCTCAGAGGATGTTCAATCAGGCAGGGCGCAAATAACATAAAATTGCGTGAAAGAAAAAGAAGAAAACCTTGCTGAGTTATATTACATTTAATGTGAATAATTGCAGAGTTCATCTTGAAACTTGGACGAGTAAAAAAGTACGTGGGCGATGAGAAAATTGCGGTTCACACCTGTAATCCAAGTAAAAAATTCCCAACAAGCAGAATTAATACAAAATATAAAATTCTTTTTGGTTCATTTATTATTTACAGATACGTGCTCTGCATACTTCTGCTGTTACTCTTTATTTAGGAAAAACGCATTGAGAAAGAAACTCATGGCAATCCAAAAAAAAAAAAGAAAAAGGATTCAGCCTGCTTTTCATATATTTTGTCTTGTCTCCCCTTATCGAGGTGAAATATTTATCGATATAAACACGCGGGTTCCAGTTGTTCTGTATTGGACAAAAAACATAAAAAATTTATAACCCTTTCCCAATGATTCATCTTTTCTTGTCACTAAGAGATACTGTTCGCTAATACTATTGCAAAGATATAATCTTTGGTATAGACGAAACTAGAGAGCACATTCATTATTTATTTGGCAATGATTGAAAGAAAACTGATTGAAATGTTATATGCAGCAGCGAGTATAAACGAATTAGTGCTGTTCGCTAGAATGTGAATACAGTTCTTTTAGACAGCTATGGCGTAAGTAACCTTATTTACTCCTGCGCAAGAATTTTTCGGAGTTATGATGACCATAAATATAGCGAAGAAAATCCAAGTTTTGCAAACGTTATTCAGGTAAGCACTTTCGCTTATTGAAATGTTACATCTGAAATAAAATATGATAGGCTGGAGAAAAGGATATTGACACGATTCATTTATGTGAGTTATTACTTTTCAAAAAGAATCTGATTGTAGATGAGAGCATACAAGTCTTTGATTCGCCTTCTTCACAAAGTAATCTTCTAGCTTGAACGACACTATTCGCATCTCTGGAAATATGCTTTTTTGCCCTATTTTTACTTGTGAATTGTCAGAATTATAATGAACGTTTTATGTAATTTTTTTAAAGAGCGTGACTGATGGGTCACAAATATGTATGCGTGACACGGCATTTTGCGTGGGTGGTGCACAGCGCCCGGCGTTGCGTGACGTAGAGAGAGGGGCCAGAACTGGACTACGCCTGGCTATGTTGATAACGAGGCGTGGACCAAAAAAAAATTTCTAGTTGAAGTCTGTACATTACTTGCGAATATCCAAATACAGTACTATAGAGAACTATCTTAAAGCAGGAGCCTGTTACCCAAAATAATTGTATAATCGGCTACTGCTGAAATGTAGCCTCGTTCCTAGGAGAAAACCCTGGGAACAAGGTTGTTGAAATAGACGAAATAGGCGCGTAAGCAGGCCGTGAGGGAATGACGCAGGTATCTATTCTCTATATATCCCCCTCGCGGTTGCTATTCTACTTTATCAACACAGTTGATGTAACCAAATGCTTTTACTTTCACTTCTCCACCGGTGCAACTCTGCAGTTTCCTAATCAGAAACCAATTCCTTCAAAACAATTGTAAGTTTGGTTACCTTATCTTTCACTAACCATCACCTCACATAATGGGAACGCAAGGCTCAGCTCGTTTTCCGCCGCTCTCTCGAGTCTGGTCCGAGAAGAGGTAGGAGGAGCGCGGGCTCAAACACCATCTGGAAATTGAGTCTAACGTAAGGACTTCTTTCTCAATCTGTTACCTCTGTATCAAAACGCGGATAAACTGAATGAATATTCTTTTCTATGAATATCCATGATCTAATCAATGAAAGTGTCAAAATTAAAATTACCGACAGTTCCTAGCCTCCTTCATAGCAGCCGGCCAACGCGTCATATAAATTACTGCTGTAGTCTGTACAGGCGCTGGACGTTGTAGACTACGCAGGCTAAGAGGTCTTTAGTTTCCAGTACGAAGCCGTTCTTTAGGAGCGCTGTGCGACGAGACAAAGAACGGCTGTGTGGGACTGAGACCTATAAAGATCTTGAAAAGATGCAGGTGACTGACTATTGCCTTGACAACTACCTGAAAGTCATTAAAAAATCCCAAAAGACTGAAGAGGGGTCGAATGACATGGAGGGCTCCAAACTTACAAATTCGTTGGCTACCCTGTTCGCTTTGACTACGAGTTGTAAGTGGATTTATTACCTGGTAGCAGGAGGAGCACAGAGTTCAACTCCTAGCCTACTCCTCTGTATAATTTTGTGCGACTAAGATTCAACTTGTATATGTTGCAGTTAATTTTTTTTCATTGTTTTGGGGCCATGGTAATGTGTGCTAATGAATCTGAAACAAAGGAAAAACAAAAATTAACGCAAATAAAAAAATGAACAACAACATATTCAAGATATTAATATTTTAGCTTCTCAAAAGTCTTCGAATTCCTGGAAGATCGTCAAGTTAACTTCATTGAACAATATCGTATCTTTCGTTCATTTAAGAGTCTTTCTTTCCTTTTTTTGTGACGTCTCTTGTACGCTTATATGAAATAAATGATACTCCAGATCCAGAGCGAACAGCATCAGTCCTTGATCTTCTGTTGAGATCTTCCATTCATTTATTACTAGTAGCTGAAGAAAAGAAAAAAACGCGCTTTTATGGAAATGTAAATGGAGGCGAGCCTACTAAAAAATACTTACAACTTTGGCTATATTTTGATGATCAAATAAATGTAGTAGAGTTGTTTTAACTCCACCTGCCGTTCGCAATTTCTTTGTCGATCCGCAGCAACAAAATCCAATAAGGTGATATGAGAACAGGTTCTCATTTCTGGCTGGTGACGCAGTACCTACCCCACCCTGGTGGCACACAGTTACGTCATCATGCCGGGCGGAAATGGTGCGCAAGCGCGCAATTCACGTCGACAACAACATGGCGAAGCTGGAAAGCCAGAGAGGAATACACACCGCTTTTGACTTTTATTTTAAAAGATAATGACTGGTTTGGTCAAGAACCAGATCGTGAAGCAACTCGCCAGGTACTTTTGCCATGAAGTGGTCCAAAATGACCGCGATGTTCGTGAGATCAGCTCGGCGCGATAAACGGGGATGTGTGCACGTGAACTTGTTGGACAGGTTTTTTAATGCTGTGCATTTTCTTTCAGGTTCACAAAGAACCTCTCTCCCAACAAAATCAGCGTGAAGTTTCTTAAGGGAGAAGGCGAACTTCACAACCTTGAACTAGATGAAACAACTCTTTCAGAGCTTCTGGAGTTGCCACCATGGATTCGCCTCACAAAAGCTGTATGCAACAGAATTTCCGCCAAGGCAAGTTATTATAATATATGGATGCATTCTTGAATTTATTATATTTCCTTAAGCACATCAATTCATGGTTCACTTCATAATTTGTTTAAAACCTTTTTGACAATGACATTTTTAGAACGAAGTCCTTCAGTCAAAAACAGAGCAATTTTGGTGATTAAACTGTAAACTGTTTACAGATGTTTTACTTAAGAACAGAACGTCTCGGAAGCCTGATAAAGTTCTGTCATTTCTGTCATCTGTTGAGGAGTTGATGAACAAATGTGAAAACGACGTTTGCTTAGGGTTATAAATATTAATCTGTGTTGAATCTGAGTTTTTTCCTGGCGATATTATTCAACTGCCTTTATGAATTTCATTTTAAAGTTTTACTATATGAGGACAACAAAAACTATTGTATTCTTTTTAGTAGCCTAGCGTCTTTTTAAAGGGACGATGTGTTTCTTTTCCGAATGTATTGACATAGAATTTAACCAGCACTGTGGATTATGTGCTTGATCACGAGTTTAAATGCTACAGAATTTAAGCTTAAGTAAATCTTCATTTGCATCATTACTGTAACATGACAACCTTTTTCTTGACAAGTTTGTATTTACTGCATTTTGTAAAGTGCTTAAAATGGTAATTCAAAACCCCCCAGGTTAAACGTAATTATTTTTGTAGACAATAGGCTTTTGCTTAATTGGATTTTCTTTTTGTCAAAAGGTTTCAGAAGGAAATAATTCTAGATTCTTTAAAACATCAAGAGCACCTGTATATAGTATCATAGTTGTTGAATTGTCAAATTTTGTAGGAAGGCCAGTTTAAAGTGTCAAAATATCTTTTGTCTGCATAGCAAACTGTTGTCATGGAAATTTTGATAATCTCAAGCCAGAATTTTACAGGTGAAACTGTCAGTGGTAACTGTATCCAAGTCTGAGTTAGAACATTTTTCTTTGTAGAATCTTCTTGAATTTGACTTACATTGTAGGATTAGAATTTATACTCTTTTAAACCAACGATACCCAGTACATGTTATGTGTTGAAGGAATCAGTAAAAAACAGATTTGGTGGGAAATAATACTCTTGATTTATTATTCTACAGATTCACTGGACAAAACTTAAAACAGATCCAATTTGTCTGGTAAGTGTTTGTTGCATTTTACAATGTAGTACTCAACTATTTCTCGAATTGCATTTCCTACTGAGATAATTTGACAGTCAGTAATAATATAATATAAATAGATTTTGCTAGAGCTAAAAGCAAAGCTCCCGTTTATGCATTTTAAATGTTCTTCACGCAATGGACTTTAAACCACTGCAAAGAAATCCACAAATCTATACTAAACTATAGGGGAGAACCACATGACTTGGAAACATAAACTTAAGCCTGCGATCATTTAAAAGCTAACAACTGGTCAATGGAAAACTTCAAAAAAACATGTGACCTCAATGAGTTGGCACCAGAGCCCACGTTACAGTCATGTGACACTGGTAAGCCGATACCCTGTTTTCACAGCTGTCAATTGGCCATAATATGGATGACTATTATCAAGTTAAATACAAGTTACAGGCTCCCACACTAGGTAGAAAGTTTGACATTTCACGTTGGTTTCCCTGGGTGGATGTGCCGATGGGACCCTGGTACCCTTAGCCTATACCAGAGCTAGTTCAAGTGAATTTTGCTACCCTATACTAGACTAAACTCCCCAAATCCTGAGGTCACTAGCACAGTCCAGCCAAAACAAAACCGATTTGATTTTTTTTTTATATTCTTGAGTGGCAATTCCCGGTTTCCCTAGTCTAGACTAAAATTGTCAGCCAATTAATCAGTTTTCTGGAAAATGATACCCTCTTCTAGACCCAAACTCTCTGATTTATATACCCTATCCCAGAGTAAACTGCTTCAAAACCATATCCTTCACAGCGGCACATACCTATATAGCCCATATATGCCAGTCCCCCCCACCCCCGGGGCACTAAGTATTAAGTTCAGCACAGAATTGACCCAAAACAGCAATATCCTCACGGCACACCACTGTAGCCCCTTTAAAGGGTTAATTTTATCTTGCAGTATCTTGACCGTGTTGAGGTTAACATGGAAGCTGTTGATAGTGATGTTAACACGCCACCCACCAGTTCGCCACAGAGAAACCCTTCCCACGCGCCTCATCAACCTCTCAAGTAAGGTTTAGGTAGTCAAGGATGTTAAGTGTTTGTATTTGGGTTGTTAGAGATGTGAATTTTCTCTTAAAATAGCTACTTAAAAGGTGTAAGACTTCTTTCCACTGTACACGTTGCACTAGTCTTGTAAACTCAACCCTAACTAGAATTTATTAAAGGTAATACAAAGAAATCCCATTTTTTAAAGGTCAGTAATTGGAAAAGAACATTATGTGAGGCTTTCATCCCCTAATTTTTGTTTCCCTTTCCAAAAACATGAGTCATCAAAAGTAGAGGTTGCTAAAAAAAAAATGAAACAAAGCTTGGTTTTTTGATTTAATATCATTGTAAGCAAAAAAGATAAGGTCCTTTTCTCTCCATTATAAAAGAGGCCAACTTCAATATTTTTGACCTTGAATGATGCTTTCAAAATGAAACACAAACTTTGGAATTAATGCACTGTGCAATGTTGTTTGAGTGTTAAGGTCACTTGTCATAGTGCAGGCAATTTGAACTACAGTCAACTCCTGGTAACTTGAACCATCTAAAACTCAAACCTCCTGCTAACTCAAAGCAATTTTCATTTCCCATCAGATCGTTTTCTATATAATTTTACCCTCGATAACTCAAACTCCCGATAACTTCATATTGAACTTTTTTCTATTTCTCTTGATGGGTCCAATTATCGGGAGTCAGCTGTAGAGCCTTTAACTCTTTTAACTCATTAACCCATTCACTCCTGGAGATTTTGCCGAAAAACGCGTTTTGAAGCTAGTCGAGTGGTTTTCTGGTCACTGTCGTGCTATAAAGAGTTAAAACTTACCACAAACTGGTTTACAGGTCGTACACTTCGCGGCCTTCTGATCCAGATGCAAAATATCTGCTTGCGAAGTTCGGGCATGCGCAGAAAGCAAAATTTCGAGATAGTTTTTGGGTTTAAAAGGGACACAGCAGTCTTGACTTTTCCTTTTCGCTTTCTCTCCTCCCTTCTTTTTTCGCTTTTCTTGCCTCATTTTTTTTTCTCTTTCTGGGCATTTAGTAGGCTTCGTTTTGGTGAGAAGAGTTTTTAGGAAAGCTTTTAGGATCTTAGGATTAGGTGAAAGGAAAGGTAGGTGAGCAGTGGACCAAGATTTTTATGGAGATTTTCAGGTCAATGTCACGTGGTTTTTTGCTTCTTTCTCCGGTGTCCTTGACTGAAGTGTGCTCATTCTGGTATGGTTTGAAAGATCTCTTCACTCTGCACAATTTAGTGGACAAAGTTGTCCGTAATCGTTAAAACTGATGACGTCACAAAGGGTAGAAAGGATGTGGATCTGCACGGGCAGTTACGGGCAGTTCAGGGGCGAATGGGTTAATAATAATTCAACGTTCTTAGTTTTTCTTTTGGTAAATTAGTCAAATTTTGGATCATATTGAGAAAAAGTTTACCAAGAAATGAGTTAGAATTAATATTACAACGTGTATACAACAACAAATTACAAGACAGCCTGATGTTCAGGTTGAAGTTTTACATTTTGGGCTATGTTGTTTATTTCTGTAGGGAAAAACCTGCTAACAGGTATGGCTTTGTGGAGAAAGTTGTGGATGGAATGTTTGTTCAGATCAACTCTGTGATCATCTCATTTAAGTTTCAAGCTTTCCTTGCAACATTCCAGATGTCACGTTTGTTTATACAAAGTACAAACCCCAAATGGGAAGCTGATGATCTGCGGAATACGCGTGTGAAGGATGAGACAAGAGGAGAAGTATTAACCTTTAAAGAAATAACATGGTCTACTCTAAGGATAGATGCCAATGCATTGTATGATGTAAGAAAATACCTTCTTTTCATTGTCCTGTACAAATGTACAATGAATCTTATTTGTACTAGCATATTTACTACCATATTTTATTTCAAAGCGCTGCAATTATAAGTGCTGTCTCCAAATGGGCTTCACCTCACCCAAGCAACCATGCGGCACCCACATAAATTGATTTTTAATTTTTGAAAATTATTATATTAAAGATGAAACAACAACAACATGATATTAATTTTGAGGAGGACTCGGAAAAAAAATCCGAGTCCCAGATGGGATTTGAACCCACGACCCTCCGTGATCTAGTCGGATGCTCTAACCACTTGAGCTACTGGAGACTCTATGGTGAGCAAGGGCCAATTTGTGGGTCTCGACTGGAACCGCATCACGCAGCTACACAGCCAAGTAATGACTGGCACACAAGAACTGGCGCTGTCACCTTAAAGAACCTCAAAGTGAGTATATTAAAGATGAAACAACAACAACATGATATTAATTTTGAGGAGGACGGGAAAAAATCCGAAAATCCAAAATTAATTAAATTAAATTAAAATCCAAAATTAATATCATGTTGTTGTTGTTTCATCTTTAATATAAAGATGAAACAACAACAACATGATATTAATTTTGAGGAGGACTCGGAAAAAAATCCGAAAATCCAAAATTAATTAAATTAAATTAAAATCCAAAATTAATATCATGTTGTTGTTGTTTCATCTTTAATATACTCACTTTGGAGGTTGGTTGGCCGCATCTTTGATATGCTTTAAGGTGACAGCGCGATGCTGTTAGTGAGTTCTTGTGTGCCAGTCATTACTTGGCTGTGTAGCCGGGTGATGCGGTTCCAGTCGAGACCCACAAATTGGCCCTTGCTCACCATAGAGTCTCCAGTAGCTCAAGTGGTTAGAGCATCCGACTAGATCACGGAGGGTCGTGGGTTCAAATCCCATCTGGGACTCGGATTTTTTTTCCGAGTCCTCCTCAAAATTAATATCATGTTGTTGTTGTTTCATCTTTAATATAATAATTTTCAAAAATTAAAAATCAATTTATGTGGGTGCCGCATGGTTGCTTGGGTGAGGTGAAGCCCATTTGGAGACAGCACATTTTTTTTTTCCGAGTCCTCCTCAAAATGAAAATTATTAGTGCTGATTAAATTTATTACTATTGTTATTGTTATGGATATATTTTAATAGTTTTATTTTTCTGCAGGAAAAGCTAGACCAGCAGTCTACTCCTCTGCGACTTATTACCAGTCATTCAGCTCTCCATATTACAATCAAGAAACGTCTGGAAGACTGTGCAGTGCTTTCTGCAAGACTGGAACTTTTGTTAGATGATATTTTATGGGTTCTTACACAATCTCAACTGCAGGCATTTTCTGGTCTATTACATTCTGTGACCCAGGCTATGTCGCAAACAGCCCGGAAAGGGCCTGAAACTAATCCTGGGCAACCTGTGAACCCAGTTATCCAACAGCAGCAAACTTCTTATGCATCCTCACGGGTGAATGAATCCAAGACTGACATTGAATCGTTAAATGCACTTTTTACAAAATATGACGTACGGGAAACAGCCTATCATGTGAGGACAGGGAGCATTGATCTTCACTTATGTGATGACACCGAAACTGCGGGCGGTGATGGCGGAGCTATGCATTTGCAAGTAAATAAATTATCAGTGGATTATTATCCCTATCATTTAGCTGGGACATCAAGGACTGACTGGCCTTGCCATAATGAAGCATCCTTAACTCGTGCTTACTGGGTCAACCAACTTCTAAATGCATTTAGGAATTCACAAAGTAACAAGCAAATGTCACCTCACACAGCAACGCAGACCCATCATAGAGCCAGAAGTGATGTAAGTATACATTGTGCACAGTATAAACATTTACTATGCTTCTCTAGTGCAACCAGTTGTATGGCTTCTACACCTGTATTAACTCTTCTTTTGTAGCAGCCATAATAAGAAAAAAAATTAAAATGATCCTTGGTTTTATCTAAATGTTGCCAGTTACATGCTGTATGAACTTGACATAGTCCTGTAGCAGACAATACATGTAATAAGTAAGTTATTTATTTATTATTGGTTTGACTGTTAAACTATTTTCTTGAAGCTTGTGGGCTTAAACCTTCAATGAAGCGTACCAGTAACTGATGTGGAAAGCTTTTTTTTAGATAATAAACTACTACACTTATTTTGTTATGGCAGAGTTCTGTTATTGGTGGTAATGCCAGAGAAGGTCCCCATCATCCGGGATCAACAGTCAGTAATCCTTCTTCACCTCGTGTAAGCTCCAAGAGAAACCATGCTTCAAGTTCAGCCGCAACTTCACGACAATCAGCACATTCTATCAGGAACAGTATGCAGCGCCCTGTTTTCATGCTTGAAAGTTGCTTTGTGGTTCGTTGTGAAGAATTTTTCATCAAGCCTGTAACAACTTGTAATGTTTCTAAGGAAGAAACACCATTTTTATCATCTGATAAAAAAGCTCTGTATTTGCCCACCGACATGCCTGCATTTCAACTGGACTTCACTCAGTACTATTACCCTGGTACTATAGGTTCACCAGGTTAGTGGTTAACTTTCCTCTTTTTTTTGCTACGTGTATCTCACAGTGAATGCCAGCCTTTACTTCTCTACGGTTTTTGAATTTAAACTTCAAGGAAGATCTATTATTAATTTTATATTTAAGATACAGAACAGTGTGAAAGTTGTGGTGAATAGCTGTTAACTGGGTTACATTATACAATATTATGTTAACAGATGTAAAAGCTAGAGTACTATGGTACATTTCTAATGTCATACATGTAATTGCCTGGTTTGTACGGAAGTTCATGTCTGTGGTAGACAGAAGACAATGTAAATCCTCTGACTACTAGTATAAACATGTTTTATACACATTTCTTACAGTGGAATGAGTTGAATGTGCTTAAAAATTAAGACTTTATTTTCAAGTGATCTTTTTGTTTCTTATTCTAGTACCCTGCCCAAATGTGTTTATTCAGTTAAATCCAATTCAATTGACACTTGACATAACAACCTGTTTGTGGCTCAATAGCTTTGCAAGAAGCATTCTTGGACAGAGAGTAAGTATTTGTTTGCCTTTTTCTGCACTCAAGAGTGGTTTAATAGAAAGTGGTGCTTGATTGAATTCTGTTTTGTTTCAACTCTCAAAAGCCACTGAAGGCACTGCACTTTGTAATGTCATGAGCTTGGCATGGGACAAAGAAGTCATTGATGTCAGTCGAGCTCTATAAACTATGGAGGAACTCATGGACTGTATTCACTGTCAAATAATTTATAGGAATTATTATTTATTATGTTCATTTTGTTATGGCCAATCAGTGAAAATCAGGGCAAGACATACAAGTAATCCACAAACACACAAAATGATATTTCTTTGGCTGTTTGTGGTTTAGTTTTCCCATGCCTCATGGGCTCTTCCCTTCACAAATATCTCTAGTTTTTTTATTGTTACATGAGTTTCACAGTAAAATGAATCCCAGATGTTGCAAACAGTGTCAAATGCATCCTGTGTGACGGAAAAATGAAAGAATGATTAGCATGGCGTATATTAATGAGGAAGATGTTTAGTAGACTGAATGGTTTCTTTTCAGACATGGTCTATGGGAACACCTGAACAAACAAACTTTCCTTTGAATCATATTGACATTAGAATTGAAGGCCTCATGCCAAAGGTGGGTGTCCTGTGATATTTGGTAAGGCATTAAGGGAGCAGTTGAATGGTGTTGTGATAAGATGTCTTTTGTTGTCTCTCCAATCTGTGAAGTGCGAAATGCACGCGTTATGTAATTTGTTGTTAATGACTTTGTAGAAAATGTCTAATCGGCCAAAGAGGAAAATACTGTACCATAATATTCTTAAACTACCTTTTAGGTGATGCCTTGTAAATGTGAATGTGACTTTTGAATTACCCTCTATTAATTTGCGTGAACTGCACGTGTAATGTATGCATTGCACTTGCAAATCATACAAAACAAAACTTTTTACAAAAGACTGGTTTACTTGAAGCACCACCCAAAAAGGAATTTAAATGATATTATTGCATTTTCCACTTTGGTCAGTTCATGTTATTGTATGTTCCATCTTTCATAAACTGCGAGCAGTCTGTTATTTTTTTCAGACTTAAAACCCTTCCTCTCCTAATCGTAGTCAAAGAAAAATTCACTGAAAATCGTAACAAATGAAAATTTCTATGCAAATGTTCTACCAAAGACCTTTCATTTTAATCGTAACACCCAAGGATTTCGTCCACAGATGAAAAGTTATCCTGACAATTTACGCCCGGGGTATTGATCCTTACCCCTACATGTCATTGAAATACTGTTTTGTTAACGGGTATTTGGAAAAGTATCATTCATCAAAGTTGCGTGGTAGGATTTTTTTCACAGACGCAAGATGAACGTTTTCCGTTATTTCTAGTACCAAACTTTACCGTGATGGAAGTAGGGGAGAATCTCGTCATTTAGGTAACAGCTTAGTGTTCTATTGCAGCATAGCTTTTATTTTAAATGGACAAGGTTGTTTGCACTTCTCAATTTTGTTATCTGTACCACCCACAGGCTCTGCACCTTGACCCCTTCCTACCCAAATCCTTCCCAGGGATTGTCTGTCCGTTCATAATTATAGTGCTTTCTTCCTTTAAGTAAATCTGTGTCATGTGATTTTCCTTTTGTCAGATTGTCATCCCTTGTCCAAGTGATCCCTGTGCCGCGTATAAAGAATCTCGGCCCCAAGCTCTCCAGCTCCAGTCTTCCCAAGTATTTATCACAAATTCAAGGACCGGGTACAAATCCACCCAAACAGACATGTTAATGTTTCTACAGCCTTTCCTGGCATCTAAGGTTTACTCGGATTTTAACAGCTTTCCCTCCTTGAATAGCGATGTTCGACCTTTGCCTAATTCTGCGTGGGTGAATGATTGTAGTCTGTTGGTTAACAATGGCAAAGTGGATCGCCTCATGAATGGCGTTTGTCATGATATTTATGATACCCACCAACCTTCTCAGGTATGAAAAATTTCCTTTAAATGTTTTGCTTCGTAGCACACATTTGAAGGATGCTGTTAACTTCCTAATAAAGTACCGTAAAATTCCGAAAATAAGCCCCTCCATGTATAAGCCCCTCCAAATATAAGCCCCTCCAAATATAAGCCCCCCAAACTCGTAACCGTAAAAACCCTCCGTTAAATCGCTCCTCCAAATTTAAGCCCCCCGGGGGCTTGTACTTGAAAATTGCCCTCAAATACAAAGTAAAACAAAGCAAAAACGGTAAATTTCCTTCAACTATAAGGCGAGCCTAATCGATTTTCAAACGCAAATTTCCCTCCGAATATAAGCCCCTCCAAAAATAAGCCCCTCAAAAAGGGCCTTTGAAAAATATAAGCCCCGGGGCTTATTTTCGGAATTTTACGGTATTACCTTTGGGATAGTTCAAGCGTCGGAACTTTTCATGTACCGAACCTAACCCCTTCACTAAAGTACGTAAAAGGTCGACGTTTGAATCATTTAAGTCCAACATAATATTGGATTGACCCATAAAGTGAGTTCGAGTGGTCCACTTGGTTCCTGTGTTTGTCGAGGTTTCTATTGAACGCTTATTTGATAATCTTGTGATGGAAAAATTCTGGAAAAAGTCTTGCATTTAATACGAACTATTTTAACATACCGGTGGATGATTCTACTTTGATTATTTTTAGGTTTGGTGTATTTCTGCCGAACAAGTATGGCTGGATTTCCTAGGCATTGAGGAAGCAAATAACCGACCAATGCCGTTTATTGATGCTGTTCCTATCCAGATATGGATTGCTACTCCTGTTCCTGAGGCAGGCTTCAAAAATACAACCGTCAAACCCCCTATGGGTCGCTCCCAGAGTGCCAGCCCTCTTAACTCACCTCCCCACTCGAGGACAAACTCAGAAATTTCTCCCATGAGGAAAGCTTTTGAGCCGTCAATATCTGCCAAAGACCGAGCAGACACAGTTCCGTCGCTAGCGTCGTCAAATTCAATATCTTTTCGCAACAGCGATTCTAATGTGAGTCATTCTCCCGAGGCTGTCAATAGCGTGACCCTTAGTGAATCGTTAGTGCTCAACAGACCTCCACCTGCTTATGAAGGAAGGAATGGGGCGGACAAGCAAACTTCATCCGAAAGTGAACAGCCTCCGCCGTACGAGATATTGGCCCAGAATGGACCTGTTTTACCCGTGCCTCACTTTGAAGAAGCACCTCCGTTACCTGAGAAGGTTCCTCTCTCTGAAGAGCTCCTAAACGGCTTGACCTTGAAAGAAAAAGAATCGCAACAAGAGCTTGATTCCGTTTCCAAGGCGGAACTAAGCCTGCTCATCCAAATCCCGCAAACTGTAAATATTCAGTTTGACCACTTTCAATTTGTGTTTCTCATGCGTATGCAGGAAATGCTAGTTAAACTACAGGAAGACCTAGAAAAGGGTCAGTTAATGGAGTCAATGGAATCTCAGCCAATGATTTTCTTTTCTATCCTTGCACGGGGAGTGGACTTAAACATAGTACTTCCTCCAGCGCCGGACCGTGAAGCTTCCCGTTTGAACAGGGATCCCTCTCAAAACTTAAGTCGCAATACCAGTAGCCTCAGTAGTTATCTAGACACTGGTATTGTGTCAGATAGTGGTTGTCAATCTCCGGATGTGATCGACTTCAAATCTCACTCTAGAACCAACTCAGATGGGTCTCCACAGTGGAAAGATGGTTTGCAGCCTACCCCGGAGAATCACAGTCCTAGAGACGTGTCACAATCGCGTCCCAATTCATCGCAGTCCACGTCTCATACTTCTGGCCGCGCCAGTGTGTCGTCAGCGCCAGACACTGATGGCTGGTCGATGGTTGGTGCACAGGACAGCAAGTCCTCCAGTGGTCGAGTTACAAGCCAGACGGACAGTGATGCCAGTAACGCTAGTAGTCATCTGGATGGTAGCGCTTCCAAAGATTCCAACAAAAAAAGCCCAAAAATGGTGTCCATTCTTTCCATCCAAGGCGAAGAAGTCGAAGTTGGGCTGCATTTCCATGGATATGACAAAGTCATCAAGATTATATGCCCTGAAATAAAACTGGATGAGCTTGGCGTAGTTTCCTTTGACAAATTCCTTAACCAGAAGTCATCTAAAAAATCGCTTAGGCAAAGTACACTTTCTTCTCCGTCAGAGGCCACTCCAATGGTGCGCATGCGTGCTGAGTTTGGCCCATCTGCCGAAAGGCTGGAGCCAACAGCTGGGGAACGAGGTTTTATGCACGTCAAAGCCAATGGTATTAATGGTACTTTGTTAGTCAGCACTTTAGGAAGCTTGGCCGACTGCCTTGAGGATGAAATTCTTGTTCCTCCGATACCTTTCATGGTGGAAGTCACTGATTCGAATGTCAGTATTAACAATGATCTGCCTCCTGCGTTGGTATCCGCGCCTATGGCCATCCCTATAGATTTAAACATCGAGAACATAGCTATTCGGCGCGCACACACTGGCGTTTTCCACATCAGGCCAATGACCGCTGAACCCCAGGAACGAGCTAGCGAACCGGTTGCCATGCCAGTGACACGTCAGGAATCTTTCAAAGCCAGTCAGCTGAGTCTGTCAGACTCAGCGTCGGTGTGTTCACGTACTGAGAGTTTGGAAAATGAAAAGCAGTGCCTGGTTGCTCAGATGTCTGTTTCCCGTGCTGCATTGCAGTCGTTACAGGAGGAGCGTGACGCGCTGTTGAAGACGATTGAACGGCTGCAACAGGAGTTGTCGTTTTCCAATCGTGAACAGGACTTGTTACAAGAAAAAATGACCAGCTTCCAGAGAGGGGAAGAAAGGGATACAAATAGGAAACGCTCAAAACAGACAAAAAAAATGGAAACCCTCCGCTAGTGGACTTCTTCTTTCCTGGCATCTGCTGAACGCACGGTCCTGGGATAAATAACAAGGAGCTTGGAGCAACTTTAAATTGTGGTCTACAAGCTCGATCATTTTTCGTCCGTCATAGTTTTAAGAAATTGACTTCTTTGTGAAACGGAGATCGTGGAAAGTGATGTTCTTTTGCGTTTGTAAGGGAGTTTTTAAATCGTTGGGGAACAATTAAGAATTTCATTTTTGGAAACACTAGATCCGGACTTAATAGCTAATTCGAGTGACAATGCGATTTTGATATTAGAATTGCCTTTGCAGAGAGCTGGGTAGTGGCTGTTCAGATCTACGTAGTCTTCCGAACACTGCAGGAATACTTAACACTGCTTAGCTGTCGAGTTGTCGCACTAACTGACCCGTCCTCAGTCCTTTCTCTTGTTTCTCTAGCGGCGCGTGGGGAGTGATGGGAACGAGGAAAGCTCTCTTCTTCCTTCCCATCACCCCCCTGCTCCCGCTGTGCGCGCCATGCGAAGACGACTGGGGACGAGTCAAGTCGCACAAAAGTCATTCTAGTTCACGAAATGAATATTCTGCGACCCTGCCAAAATATTTTAAAAGTAATAATATATTGGTTAAATATCCAAGATAACTTTTTAGTTAGTTGAATTAAAAAGCTTTTGAGCTATTTTTAATAACTAGAGTGTAAGAAAAGTAAATAATTTTAATGGTAGCAATGAACGTAAAACAGACATATGGTAAGGGAAATATCTTCATGTATTTCTTATCAGGTTATAATGTATTGCTTGTTATCTTAGATTTAGCACAATTTTGCAATATATAGGGTGTGTAAGACTTTTTAGCAGCGTTTATTTTTGGGAAAAAGACAATTGTATTTAAATACCACTTAAGGAACACTGCAAACCAATATTTTAATCTCGGATAATCCTTAAAATATTGAAAAACAGTGTCCTCGCATTTAATTGCATATAATTGGTGGTAATGACTACATATAATGTATGTGTGGGATTTGAAGTTAAATATCAAAAAAGAAGCACGGGGGTTTAGGCTATGCGTAAGATAAAGCACGGCCGAGTTCTTTATACCGACTTTCGAGTTCTATGGATCACAGATGAAACATTGTGCTGAGTTTTTGACACAGCTTCTCAGTTTGTGTAAGTGTATTGAATTAACAAGGTCCTGCCTACTTTTTTTTAGTTCGACTGAGTAATTAATAACGCGAAAAACACATCTTAGTTAAGTTAGAAGTGTATTGTCTAAAAGTTTTTGTTTTAGGTTAATGTTAATTGCAAAATGTTTACGGCTTTAAAGGCAGGTGACAACTTGATTTTTTTTCCTAACAGCCAATTCACGAATAAAGAAATCGCAAAATACTCTATAACAGTTTATAAGATGTTATAAATGACATTTGAACTCAAATGTGATTCTCTTAACAGATCTACACAAATACTATTAGAAAGTAATCTAATAAAACTACTATTGTCAAATTAGTTTATAGGGGCACTTGCAAATGTGGTTTGATTCATTCGCGTGTAAAGAATTTAAAATCGTCCTAAAAAACATTATTGCCTTCATGAGTAATAATTTAAACGTTTGCTCTTTTCGAGAAAAATAAATACGTTAAAAGGTCAGTCTTCTTTACTGTGTTCAAGAGGGAACGTTTTTTCCAAAGCAGGTTTATTCCTATTCCCAAAAGAACCATGCACTCGCGTGAGAATTGCATCTATCAGGCGTTTTCTTTCTTTATTTTCCCGTGTATTTGCCTGCTCGAGGACTATGTTTCTTTCCCATAGGCTACCTGCATCACCAATACTGAACCTCGTTCCAGGTTTGTGGTCTTCACCCTACGTCACAACTTCGTTCCCAGGGTCTTCTCTCCTCCTTCCTCTCTTTAGGGAAGAAGAGAGAGGACCCTGGGAACATGGTGGCCAAGGGCCGGCTTCGTCCACAGATCAAGTGGACCATTTACGAGTGAGTCCAAGAGCAGATACATTTTATTTTTCTGTAAGTTTTAAAGGAGCGGCGCGTGTAAAAAATGTTTGAGAGTTAGGAGCGGTCTGGGTGAGGACATCCCGATATAACCCAGATCACTTCAATAAAAAAGTCTCCTGCTATTGCCATTTGGTATTTGAAGCCCTGTTCTAGTTTATTTCATAGATTGTTCACAGTCCTCCATACTGTATGCCGTATGACTGGACTTGGTATGGAAAGTACAACAATTATTGCACAACAGTCGTTTAATGCTTCATGCGCGAAATATCAGCCTATCAGTGCTTCGAAGAGTGGTATCACTCCCAGATATTCCCCCGGGGCCCAGCCCTTGCTTAAAAAGTCATCGACCGAATTAACACCTTTAAAATAATCAGTTTAAAAGCAAGAATCAAGTCTCCATGCAATGAATTTTCGGGCGAAATCTTTGTCGGTGCGGCCAGCAAGGACAGTTAGTCAACACCTAGCATTTCTACAGCCAAAACCTCGAGGCGTGGCTTTTTTGGGCGATCGTGTCCTTGAGTAGGCTTAGTCACCAAACAGCCGTCGCCCAGGGCTGGAGACTGAGCCTAGCTACTGGCAAACGGCAGCGATGATCACGTGACCATTTCCCGCCCTTTTATGTTAACCACGTTCTGCGCCATGTTCCTTCGACGTGGAAGACAACTGTTTATGAGAACAATCAACTACAGCTAACGTGAGTATATTTTAACCTATTTTCTCTCATTTTCCTTTACCTTTTTTTGCAGTACGTAACTGTAAAGTTTTCGTGGTTATTTTGTTGAAAAAAGCTGAGTGGAAACTGCGGTAGCGGGTCTTATTAGACTCTTATTACGGGCTGGTTCGCTCGCACCTTGAAAATTCAAGGTCTTCAAAGTCCTTGAAAATTGCAGTCGGTGATGGAATTTCCTTGAATTTCGGTGCTTACTTTATCCAACCCAGATTCTCAAATGCCTACGAGGAGCAAACACAAAGACCTTTAGGACTGCTCATGTTGTGGAAGAACTTAAAGAAACATAGACTCAAGACTCTTTTTTGTACTGAATGGAGGTTCTTGGAAAATGGGATAGTGTCCTTGAAATGTTCTTGAATTTTTTCTTAAAAAAAGGGTACTAACCGTGTCATTATGTACCATGAGAAAACAATAGTGAAAGTTTATAGATCGTCGCGAAGGGTAGGCCGTCATGCATGCCAGCTGTCGTTTTGGACGTTTTCCGTTTCCGATAAAAGTCATGCCAATTCCTATATTGACTAGGAATTATCGCTTTTAGAAAAACTCCAAATTGTTTCAATTTAGAATTTATTTAGAATTTCCTGCCTTGAAAAGCACTTTAAAATGATTTGCGGGCGATTTTATCATATTTTATACTATAATCACTAGCTATCACGCAGAACCTTGATTGAACTGAGTATAGTAAAAAAGGTTGGTTTTTTAAATTTAAAGTTATCTTTAAATTTATCTCTTTATGTCAGTTAAAAGTGTTTTATAAAAATGTGGAAGAAATTGATCTGGGACCGACGACTGGATTTAAGTACGGTCGGTATTAAATACCTTGCTTTTTTTAAGCCGGTCAGATATTTACCTAAATGCCTTCTGAGCGCTCTTTGGACGAGTAAGAGACTCTTGTTTCTTGCTGATATAAAAAGAAATAGTATCATCTATATTGAGTAACACTTTAAAAATGCCATGGACACCTTTTTGTAAGTGGAATAAGGATTAATGGACCGATTATATTTAAGAGACTGGTTACATATATTTTAGCGTGAGAGCAGTATCCATAAATGTTTGAGTCAAGGATAGTTGTTATAGGATACTTAGTGAAAAGGGCTTAAAAAGTGGGGTTATGTTTCCAAGTTCTCACCCTTAGAAACATTAAAAAGTCATTCATTTCATCGCGATGGCGCTCTAAAAGCAATTTAAGACATTTGTTAAGTTTGACAAACTCGGACGATTTTTCACAAGGTGCCAAGGGAGGGCTTTGTGTTTGGCACCAGAGGTATTCAAGAAGGTCACGACTTTTTCTAATGCTTTATAAATGTATGGTACAAACATTTTAGATGAAGCTCCATTCATCTTTATTACAAGTTACAGAATCGCTAACTGGTATGACGTAAATGCAGGAAAGAAATCATAGTGATTCCTGGAACGTGACAATGACTAATTTTGGCGTGACGATAGTAACGAAACGGAACATAAGGACAGAAATGCTAAATTTTGCCTTTTGAGAGAAACTGTTTTTTCCTGTTTTTTTTTCGTGGTAAATAGGACTAAGTCAAACGGACACAAAATATGAATGTCCACTTTGTCTGAAACGATAGCTTAAATTTCAGGGTCCAGGTGTTTCTTGTTTGGTGTTTACATAAGGTCCGGTATCTTGTGTCACGCTCATCACAGACAAACCACATGCTGTTCGAAGTCACTTCGCGGTTGGTGTTAAGTCTTCTTGAATCTTTAGACGTGCCGCCGACTTTGCTAAATCGCCGAAATTTGCATGAAAATGAGGACAAGTCCGCGAGGACGATTAATCGAAGAATATTGAGGGCGAAGCAATTAGCTAAACGGCGACACGTGCAATATATTTTTGCTCATTGATATCTAAGCATTCATTATTTCGGTTTCCGGGCCTTTGCACGGTGTTGTTATTCCGGCCTTTGTTGTGTTTTCGTTTACTCGTTGCGAGGAGAATTGGAGGTTAAAAACTAGCTGTAATTGAAACAGACAGACGTTTGCGTTCACCTTGACGATGCCGCTTGTGAAAGAAGTCCTGAAATGTAATGTTTCAGTTGAGTTCTTTACAAACTCGATTCGCCATGGCCATTGATGGAATAACGAAGGTATCATCTGCGCACGTTGGGTTCATGATCCGGGATTTCCCTCCTCAAAGTTGATACCGAAAATATCAATGTGATGGTTCTATAGTGACGAAAAGACAAACTAAACAAATTACAGAATTGTTTCTCATATTATAACACAATGCAAGCTGCCTGGTGTTTTACAAGCATGACAGCTCTCTAGATATTTCATTGCCTCGCGCCATCTTGCAATCAGATATAGTCCTTTGAACTTCATTCTGCTGAGAGTCCTTCAAGTCGATGAGACATGTATGGGCTGATTCTGGAGAATTTTCGTTGCGTAATACTTGAGAAATATGGGGAAGCTGTCTGGAACAAAGTTGTGGAAAAATCTGGAGTGAGGCATCACACTTTTGCCACACACAAAATCTATTCGGAAGACATCATAGTTCGCCTCATTAAAGCAGCTACAGAAGAGACCAAGCACAGTTCGCAAGAAGTTACCGAGGATGTTGGAATTCATTTCCTCGGTTTTATTGGTCAATATGGCTACGACAGAATCTTAAAAGTGCTTGGTAGACATATGAGGGATTTTCTGAATGGCTTGGATAATCTTCACGAGTACCTACGATTCACTTACCCAAAGTTAAAAGCACCTTCGTTTTTCTGCGACGATGAAACGGAGCATGGACTTAAACTACACTACCGCTCCTCGCGTAAAGGCTTTCTTTACTATGTCATCGGTCAGATCAAAGCAGTTGGCCGATTCTTCTATCATATCGACGTTGAAGTGGAACTTTTATCTCATACTGAGAGCAAGGAAGGAACGAATGCCTTGTTTCAGCTGACGTTTGACAACAGCGTGTATATGGAATCACGCCGAAGGCCAAAACGACACTCTGTCATTTCATTGAACGGGGATGCCGAAAATCTTAAAATCCCCATGGAAGTATTTTACGAGGTTTTTCCTTTTCACATTGTATTCGATGAGGAAATGGTGATTTCCAGCACGGGCAATAGCTTGGAAGCCGTTCTACGGGGCCTTCCTGGAAAAAAGATTTACTCACAGTTCACTCTAATTCGACCCTTCATGGAATTCACCTGGGAAAATGTGAGTGTTTAACTATTAAGATATTGAAAGTATTTTTATTTGGTTGAAGACCAGCCTTGTAAAAACAGACACCATATTCAACTAATGAAAAATGGTGTTGCGTGTCATCTTTTAATTATATTCAGAAATATGCATATGTTTTCCCAATATTCGTACATTTCAATAAGACGGTTTAATGTTGAAGGAGAAAGTGATCACAATAAATAGCTTTTGTGTTGTTTTCATTTCTTGATAAAAATCAACCCCCACCTCAGAATACAAACCAGAACTGTCGTTTATACTATTTTTTCTTTTCACGAATTAGGGGGTTTTATCTTTAACAAAAAGGGGATTTGCTAACCTGAAAATTAGCCCTTTTAGTTTTTTCCTTTTATACCAAAAAAAATTATTTTCTTTATCTTTTTCTCCTAATAAAAGAATGAGCCATAATTTCAGTTTATACATGTGGAAACAAAGTTAATATGTTCACATTAACTGGCTATGTTACTGGTCATTTCTATCAAAGCAACCTTCTCCAAGGTATATTTTAGAATTAACCAACATTAGGAAATATTTAGTAACCTTGGGGTGTTACGTTTAACAGCCATTGGTAGTTTCTTAGTGTTGCATAGCAGATGTGGTCACCATGAGCCATAATACGAAACATCGAAAAGGCACCAACTTATAAACACAGCACCCCAGCTGCTACCATTATATAACATATACAGCTTGAAGTCTATCAATTCATGTGATGTTGCTCTGTTGGTTAGGAGTTGTTTAGTATTTTGTTATGTCAAGTCAAAGAGCTTTATTTTAGATACCTTGATGAAATGTTTGCATATTGTAAAGCCTTCTTATTATTGTTTGATTACTGACATAGTGTGTGACACAACCATTTCTCACATTAATCATGCATCTTGCATAAAACACTATAACTGTAATTTTATGCTTATAATTTGATATCAAAAGGAAATGTTGTGTTCTGAATGCCTAGTAGCATTTTAAATATAGATGGGAGAGATAAAGTGTTAAAATGTTTTCAAGATAATTCAGTATCTTAAAACTTACAAACGCAACCAAAAAATGATTTCATGAAAATAAAAGGCGACCCTTTCATGATTAAAGAAGAAATAACTCCGCTTCCCATTACTCATTGTTTTAATGTTTAAAATAATATGTTATTTCACTCATACAGCCTGTCTTATTGTTAAAAAAATACGTTATTTTACTCTTATAGTCTGTCAATGTAATAAATTTTGCCTTTCTCAGAGTAAAGACATTCATGGTAATCCAAAACTCATTTTAAGGTTTGACGCACTTTCAAATTACCAGAAAACATGCCAAATGATTGGCATTCCACGCATCAATGTTATGGTGTCTGAGAGTTATTTTTAGAGTTTCTAGTGTAATTTTAATTAACACATGTTTTTATTTAACAGTTTTGGGTGTTTCTGTGTTTGTTGAGTCCCTGTTCCTTTGTCTCTTTAGCCTAAAATAGTAGTGGAAAAGTAAATTTGAAATGTTTTGTTTACAAGAGAGAGAAGTATTGTGTTTGATATTCATATACCATACTGAGACTTACTGTCTGGTGCACAGACATTGAGCCATAAAGTAATATCCGTGATGAGATGTGGGTGAACCACATGTTAAAAGTAATGTTAACCTTACTTTCTGTTTGTCTTTTCTAAATCATTTTTTCCCTTTTCCATAAGTAGTTATAATCCAAGTTTAAGACAAATTTTATCAGTAAAAATAGAGCTGCAGGTGTTAGGGTTGTTAACATTTGGTGTAAAACTTGACCCCAACCTTGCCCAGTTTGGGGCGTTTATCTATGAAATTAATATTTCATTGAAGTAAACTTCCTCTGTTCCCTAAATGTATTTGGGTATAGGGCCAGAAGCAATTTTTCATTTTTAGGCAAGATAAAACATAAATATTCTTTTAACCCTTTGTTCTTAAGATCTTGTTCTTGTATGGTGCTGTAGGCATACTGCTGTTTAAAAAACAAAAGTGCAGCATTGCAGTGGTCATTAAGGACAACAATAATGTTTACTGTTTTGTTCTGCTTTTCCATGCATTTCCAAGTTTATGAAGTAGAATGTTTTTGGCAGTGGGTAGATGTGCAAGTGGTTTTGAAAAGTCCATTCTAATGTTGTGAACTATTACTTCTCTCCAAGTGGGGGAGCAGGGTAGGATTTAACCTTATCATTCCCTTGGAAATCATGTGAAGAAAATGAAAATGTGAAGTTTCACTGTGTATTGCAAAAGAGTTATCATTTGATAGATAACTCCATTAAAAAAAACCTTCCGCAGACTTGATCGTTAGAACAAAACCCATTTGTTGCAGTGTATAGTTATGTTTGATTTGTTTTCTTGTTGTTGTTGTTTCTGTAACCCAGGACAACAAGATAAACACATCTGACAGCTTTGGATAAATTAAAAACTTAAGCCCTTTTAAAAGAAAAAAATAAAGGGAATCAACCATACGAGGACACAGAATAAATCTGAGTCCCAGATGGGATTCGAACCCACAAACCTCCGTGTTCTAGATCACGAACACGGAGGGTGATGGGTTTGAATCCCATCTGGGGCTCAGATTTTTTCTGTGTCCTCGTATGGTTGATTCATTACATCTCTTTTTATTTTTTCCGCTATAATATTAAACCCTTTTACAATTTATATTAAGTCAGGTCAAAATCTACGTCCATCAATTTGGAACAGCAAACACAGTGCATTGCTTTAACTTAAATAATGAACTTCCTAGAGCAGTGTTTATGTGAGTGTAACTCTCTCATCTTCAAAGGCTTCCACTGGATTAACAAAATATTGGAAAATGTTGATAATATTTAATAATTAAAATTTACATGTATAATATATTATGCAAGTGCATCTACATAAAGGTAATCAGATCCGTGAGTGCAGGCCTCTGCAGATGAGAGGTGAGAGAATGTCAGGAGAAATGATATTATGAATTATTTGGGTTAAGAGTGCTGCACTGTATTAAGTTCATATCCTCCATTTCACATCTCATTCAGAAATGTACATTGTATCAAAAATAGGCCACTTCCGAGTTCCAAAAACCCTTACTTTCAAAATGAGGCCAGGTGCGCAACCTTTCTTGTGAAAATGAGTTTTATTTGCATGAGGATGAAAAATGATTTCCATATCAAAGGCTGAGCACCTACCATTGTTTTGTAACAGAGGCCCGGGGGAACTCAGAAATGGCCTATTGTGATGCACCAGGAATGTAGCTAAGAAAAAGCTAAGCAGGCTTTTTATTAGTCAAGCCGGGTTTTTTACTCAAAAGTTTGCACCTTCAAAATTTCCCCATGTCTTGGTTTTCCTTTGCAATTTGAGCTGGTGGTAGCAGGGCTGTCAATAAGGGCTGGTAGGCGGCCAAAACTGCCAGCTAGTTAGCCATCCTTAGCTGGCTACTTTCATGTCCTTCTACCATAACTGCTAACAAAAAATAAGCACCATCAAGTAAAATAGTAAAGCATCAGTTTCCCAGTTTTGAATGACGTTGAACGCATATTTTATAAACAGGTTTAGACCTGAAAAATGTCAACTTCAACGTTCGAAACTGTGCGATGTCGTGGAATGCCTGGGACATTTCGACCGCATTGTTCCCAGTCTTGCAGACAGTCTTGCATGTATGCTGACAAAACAACATGGCATCCACAGTGGAAAATACCTCTTGAAAACCTTTTCTGAGACTCTAAATTTTAAAATGTCCCTAGATGCCTCTGCCCTCAAGAACTTGTGCCTGTGGTGCGAGTTCCAAAGCTGCCTACTATTCATTATCAGCCTGCTACTTAAAAACGTTTTTACAGCCCTGGTGGTAGGCTCTTTTTCAGGTGCTGTAGTTAGCCAGCAGCTGGCTCTTAGTGACATCTGATGCCTGGATGCATATGCAGAATTTTTGTTTTGCTTTTTAGAGATCGCCATGGTCATCCTTGTTACTTGATCCCCTTTATGTTTTGGGCTACTTGTATAAAATTAATATAATAAGAGATTGCTGGTTTCTTGGCTCATGTGAGGAACAAAGAGCACTACTCCTAATCTAATACAGATCAGTGGCTGATTTCATGGGGAAGGCAGGTACCTTCATCTAGATCCCTACCCCTCTTACTATCAGAAATTCCACAACAGTTTTATTTGGAAAGTAAGTTGAATGAGTGATTGCTTACAGGAGGTGGTGGTACCTACATATATGTATTTGTTTCCATTGTGAGATCAGATACCAGATTTCTAATAGCAGTATTGGTACTTTTAAGGTGAGAACACACACAAATGTTGTGTTTGAAGTCCAGTCAATTGAGGCGGTAGTGCTGCCAGTGGACAGTGATCTTCAGAATGGGGAGGTGATGGTGAATGGAACAGAAAAGGAAGGCTCTGGTGACCTGTGTTTCATCCACCTCAAAGGACAGATGTTGTACATGGAGGAGTGGAATTCAATGGTTTACCTTTCAACCCCAATGTAAGTTTTAAGAACACCAGGGCCCGGTTCTTGAAAGGCCGATTAGCATTAATCCAGGGTTAAAATTTTGTTCTGTTTTTGTATTTCACATTCCTATGCATTGATTTGGGTATCATTTTGTGTTATCATTACTGTATCTCGTAGTAGAGGCTCAGCAGTATTTTGTAACCTCGAGCTGCATGTTCTTAGATGAGAAAACCGTGCTTGAAATTTGGCTTCACCCTGGGTTAAACTTAACCATCTTTCGAGGAACCCGGCGCGGCAGTCTTGATATTCTGAATAACACTGCACAATACAAAGCAGTTCGGAATTACCATTAACTCCCCTCTTATCAAAGATTGAAGCTGGATTAACAGAACTTGTAGCCAGTCAGTTCAAGTTACTTTAATTTCTGTTTTTCTTTTTTCAAAGGCTTTTGACTGATGTATGTGGCAAATAGTATTACAGTAGTCGTTTTAACTGTAGCTGTAGCAAATGTTACTGTGTTCCATTTTCAGAATTGAGAAACTAGAGATGATGCATAGTCTTGGACTGTACATCAATGACCTGAGCATGCATGATTCTAGCAGAGATCTTGTTTTAGCTGGAACACAGCAGTCAGCAGAACTAAGATTGGCCCTTGATCAGGTACAAAAAAATAACATTTTATCAATCATAAACACTGTTTTTCATCATTGTATGACACTTTAGAAACAGTGTTTTTGGTTGAAATTTTTCATGGAGGTATGTCATGTAGTTTAAAGTGCATTATCCTGTGAAGGTTACCTCTGATAATACATCAGAACTTCACGTTTTCTCTTTGAACCTTTACTCTCACAAGATGTCTTGAAACTTTTCCAACTCAAAAAAACTAACATTGCACCATTCATTTTATTAGGAGCTTCTGAAAAGTGCTAAGCTTGAAGAGAGCATGAAAGAGCTGGATATAGAAAAGAGGAGGACGGATTCATTGCTGTATCAAATGATCCCTAGATCAGTGGCTGATAGACTACGACAGGGTGAACCAGCGCTCAATACTTGTGAGGTATTTACCTTCAATATTTTTTTTAGATAAAAATAGTTTACCAGCAACCATAACCCTAAACCAACAATACCGTTACGCTATTGTTTCAGATGTTCCATGATGTTTCTGTCCTGTTCAGTGATGTGGTGGGATTCACGCACATCTGTTCACTAATCAGTCCCATGGAAGTGGTCACCATGTTAAACAACATGTACACAGCATTTGATCAGATCTCAGAGGAGCATAATGTTTACAAAGTAGGTAAACAAGTAGTAGAGGTCTGAAGTAAGGATACTTTCAACCTTGGGGGAGATGGAACAGGTAATTCTTAATCCTTTGTTTTTCTTAAAGGTTGAGACAATTGGTGATGCATACATGGTGGTGAGTGGTGTTCCTGAAAGAAGCAAATATCATGCGGAGCATGTCGCAGATCTTGCACTTGACATGATTTCTGCCATGCCAACACTAGTGGATCCATCAAAATCATCCCCTCATCTCCGAATAAGAGTAGGTAAGGAGATACTCCTAAGTTGTCCGGTGTACAGAAAGTACAATTGTAATCTTGAGGTGTAGGGAGCTTAAACAACAGAAAGTACCCTTTAAGCCCTGTAATCAGCATCAAATCGTTCAATGTTTTTAAAACAGTGGTCATGGAATTATGGACATTAATGAATTTGCTTGATATTTTATCAAACAACGACAGCCAACAAATGAGAATTCATATTTTGATCTCAGGGTTTAAAGGGTTAAAAAGTGAAGTCGCGCTGCTTCAAAGTTTATGGCGCTTATTCAATCCCGTCCAATTCGTCAAATGTTGGCAATTTTTTTGGAGTTGAATTCTAAAAGACTGAATGGAATTTCAGGAATTCGAAAGGAGAGGGAAAGTCGTTATCTTGTGTTCACAAAACGTGAAATTTGGCATTTTCACGTCATAGTAGTCGTGCAGTAACGGAAAAGAAATGTACAAAAAAGCGTGGTGCACCTTCAAAATTGTTGTTTTGCCAATCTAAACCTATGGTGCCGTTCTTGTTGACGTTGCCGTCGTTGTTGCTCAAGCTCCCTAATGTTACTGTAATGCTGCCTTTCAGTTAATGTTCCTGAATATTTACTTTGTCTCAGGAACTCAGTGTCAGACACTTTCTTTTTGAAACTACACACACACTTCCTTTTTTCTCAAAGGTCTTGCTTGTGCATAGGGCAGTTATGATGAAAACATGTCATTGTAGTCATTGTATGGAGTATTCAACTAACCGCAGACTATGTTCAAGTTTTGTTGCATGCTGAAGCTCCCAAAAATTGTCTTATTGCTTGAATTTAAATCGTTTATGCGATTATTCTGCAAATGTGATACAACAGGTGTCCACACAGGGATGGTTGTAGCAGGAGTAGTTGGGGTAAAGATGCCTCGCTATTGTTTGTTTGGGGACACAGTCAACACAGCATCCAGGATGGAGTCCACAGGATTGGTATGTAATACTTCTGTTGGCCAGAACTTCTTTAGAACCTCTAATTTGATAGGTCCTTGTTGGCCCAAAGCTCTATTGTTTCAGAGTTGGGGTTCATTGTTAGTTTTGTTTGGGTTAGGGCTATCTATTGTTTTCTAAACCAATCCTGTGAGCCGTTCTTAGAGCTTCCAGCCCATCCAAGTAATTATAGCCATAAGTGTCAATGAGTTTTATGCCTTATCCGATTTAGTTGTGATTTATGGCATAGGTAGTGTAAACAAAATTATTTATTGCTATCATCTACATTACGGTATGTATTATGAATACAGCCGATCGAAGATTTTGGATACAAGGTCTAATTGGAAAGGAAGTGTCTTTTTTAGTTTACTTTATGATTCAAGCACCAGGAAAGAAGTTTCCCTTTTCAGTGCAAAATATCGGAAGTGACTTAATGAAAAACACTGATGTAACCAGCTATACGTATACCAGACTGACCAAAACGACGGTCGTCTTGCCCAGAGGACGTTCCATATCTGTAACAGGCGGTGATAATGGAATAATTGTCTTTAGTAAAATCGGAGTAGTGGTCTATTATCAATGCTGCGTTCTGATTGGTTGAGCTAGCGAAAAGCGCCGGATTTTTGGCGGCAAAAAAAGATTAAAGTGTTGCTTTAAGTTGTTTTGTCTCGATATTTTTGACCAACTAGTTGGATTTTACTATAAAACAATTATTTCTCTCGCCCCCATGGCCTCATGGGCTATTGACTCAGAGCCTATTCGGGCTCGATGAATAATTGTTAAATATATCGCGATATCAGTTTTCACATACCTATGTCGCGATATATTAACTCTGAACGGTCCTTGTAAGGCACACATCTTCGCCTCGCAATAGTAGGGACCCCCCGAGTAATAAGATAGGATAGGAGTGACAGAAAAGGCTTTTAAATCCAGCAATAACGATGGTCGTTACGTTGCGAGGATTACGGTCAACAAAAAATCACAAATGGTATCGCGATAAGTACCGAATTTTGAAGAAGGCTAAAGATTTGGATGATCATACTACTGGATTGCGTATTTAGGATTACTACCTGAACAGGAAACTCTGGTAACGAAAGGGCTAAATATGACGCCAGAAAATCAGCCTTTTTAAAGCAACTTTTTTGTTCAAAATGGCACACTTTAGGTTGACCCACGCTTACGTCTTGAATGTAAAGCGAAATTTGCCTGGTCCCTGTACGACGTTTTCGCAGTCCCTCTCCGTCAATTCACTTCGGTGACCTATCCGACGCGAACATTTTCGCTTGGACGACGTGACCCCAAGCGCTTTGGCCGCGCGGAATAATAAGGCCAAGGGACTAGGTAAAAGCGAATTTAAGCAGCCGTACGATAGTATCGTCCATCACATATAACAAGCATTTTGTTACAACTTCAAATTTCTCATCCATAGGCCATGAAAATCCACATCAGTGAGACTACTTACAACTGTCTACAACTGGCAAACTACAGCATGAAGCTGAGAGGAAGCATTGAAGTGAAGGTGACATGAAACTCTGTAATGATAAATTTTAGTTAGATTTCCTTTCCCAGAAAAAGATAATCTGGAAAACAAATCGTTTTACACATTTTAACCACCCACTGTGTTTCTTTTCAGTCTTAATTTCTTATCACATTATTTTAGATGTAAGGGTTGAAACTGTATCTTTCATTTTAAATCATTTGAACGTACTGGAACCTTTTAAAACGATTTGCTTTGCTTTGAGGCACAGTTTGGTCAAACGATTTGCTTTGCTTTTGGGCACGGTGTGGTCAAATTTTGCAGTGAAACTTGAGGCAAGTGTTGTTTCAATGAATGACTTACGAGCGAATACCGTATGTATCCAAGTAAGCCCTCACTTCAGCATTAGAGTACACTTCATCACTGGAATGCTATTAACTTACAAGTTCCAAGAGTGACCAAAATCAAGTGTCTCCCAACAATATCAATACAGAGTCTAGAGAAAAGGCTATGAGAATTTATATTCTATCAACTTATTGTTTTAAGGGGGCAGTTTGGTTGGTTTTTTGGGGGATATGATGTTGATTTGGGAAGGAAATAAATAAGGGTAGAAAAGGTATACACGTAAACCAGCTAATGGGATGAGAGGCACCTTGTTGTGGTGGTGGACTATCTGGTAAATAGAGAGATTAAGATTCACGTTTACTGCAAACGGCAAACGTCAGGCTCAGATTGAGAATTTCTCAGAAAAGGAAATAAGCAGATAAAACAGTCCCGAACGATCCCTTTGGTTAAAACTGGCATAAATCTGCTTATTTTTGTGTAGAATAATAAAGAGTAAACGGAGAACAAGGGAAAAACCTGGTCACGTGGTACAAATTCACGTCTGTCGTTTGGCGTAAACGTGAATCTTAATCTCTCTATTCTCTACTAGTTATTCACTTCATACTTTAATTTTTAACAACCCCCAAATCCAAATATTTTCCACTTTTTTCAAAATTTTAGGCATCCCCCCCCCTAATTTTTATACATTAAAAATATTCGAAAAATTATCCAAAAATCATCCAAAAAATATTCAATTAAGGACTCCAACTAAATTGCGTCGTTTTTTGATTGAATGAAATCTTGCCTAGATATTGAAGGAAAAGGGTGGAAATCAACGAAAAATAATGCTTTTAACCAGACTACTGCCCCCTGAAGGCAATGTCTGAAGAACATTTATGTGTAATTTTGGGGTTAAAGGGTTAAGTAAAATTTCCTTTTAACATCGAGGGATCAAGTGCTTTATATTTGAGGGTCATGGTAAGCTTTTTTCCCGTGCTGGTAGGGAAAAGGAGGGATGAAAACATACTGGCTTGTTGGAAGGAATGGAACGGGAGAAACAGCACAGTCGTACATGTCGTTTGTCGGCGGTAGCCATCCAATTGCAATACACACCGAGTGTGACGATGCTACATCACATCAGTCTACCTTGGGAAACATCAATCTTCAGATGAACACGACGACGGTATCTGAAGAGGATGAGAAGACTTTGAACGGGGCTGATGAAGGGAATGAAATAATAAACCCACAAAAAGATTGTCCTGTTGCATACTACGGACATGTTCCCCACACGCCTGCTAATGGTGGTGTGCACTTTAAGTGGGAAGAGAAGGTTTGAAATTTTTGTGGTATAACTTTTTTAAAATTTATGTCTGCTACGTTGTTTACATTTGGTCAAAGGAACACTGCCTTTAAATGTCTGAGTCGTATTACTTTTTAATTGTTGAGATTTCATGTACGATAAAGAGGAAACACGGCTAACTCTTGTATAAAATAGATGGTGAATGTGTTTTGTTGCCTCAAAATGATGAGCTCATACATGTTCGTTGAAAACGCTTCTCCCACACAAACATTTGTCGTCAAATGGCGCCAGCAATGCCACAGTTTCCGTTTTCAAACGCTTCGTCAGTCAAGTGTGAAAAACATTTGAACCGCATGATTGGTCAGGTGTCAACATTTTTAACGGTAAAAAATGAAAGCCTTAGCTGCAGTGTACGTAGCTTTTCTGAGTTTATTCTTTGAGTATCTGAATACAACAGCCCTTGTGGAGGTTGAGATGTAAGGTGCTACTCCAACAAGTGTATAGTGATTGAATACGCAACATTTGAAATTTTAACTTTTATATGTACTCTCTGATTTTCAGGGCAATCTAAACAATGTCTCTTTGGACAAAGAGAATTCTTCTGCCGTAGATGAGCAGGCCAAATCAAAGAAGGAAAATGAGCCCTCTAACACCGCGTCAACATCATTGTGTAATCTTTTGTAACTTATTACAATTGTTCTTCTATCGAGTGTTCGGTATTGAATTGGAATTATTATTTTTGCATGGGAGGTGTCATTGTTTTTGAAAATTTAATTTTTATTCTTTGGGTTTGTACAGTACTTCAAGCCTGTTTTGAACTACTTTTTAATGTATAATTTCTATTTAGTTATTTCTTTTTTTACTGTATTGAAAATTTTCAGGATATTTTTATTTTGTACGTTGAACGTCACAGATATCCGATATCTAACATAGCATAAGGGAAAAAGCACTTTGAAATTTATTCTAATTTATTTAAAGCGCGTGTGTAAGATGCTTTGGAATTAAGTTATTTGGGTTAAGCTGTATCAATTTATGATCGTAATTGTCGGGGCAAATGTCCTCGAATTTTATATCATTGAGAAAAGACCTGATTTATGTTAAATATGGGGTCACCAAAAAGTATACAGTCTAGGGAGGTGATCCTTTGCCCCTTCGAGAAAGGGACTACATGCGTGTTTGAGTACTTTGGAAGGGGCGGGGTAGGCTTTAAAAAGATGGGTTTTACTTGGGCACCATAGACAGTTACAGATTTAATATAGGTGTTCGCCTTAGAGAGGTGACATTCTAGAAATATATGTTTCGTAGTTGGTGATGCTTGCATACCTCAGATAGGCGGACTCCTTAAGGAGGTCTTCTCCTTAAAAGTTGGGCGGTACATAAGAGATGTACACACCTCAAAGAAGTCGGTGCCTCAGAGGTTCGGAATCTTAGTTAGGTGTGTGCCTCAGAGTGCTTGCTCTCTTAACCTTAAAGATGTTTAATTGGCATCTCAGTCGTAAGAAAAAACTATATCAGTTAAGATTACTTTTTATTTTATTTATTTTTTTACTGCTTTAATGTTAATTTCGTGCTGTCTTGTAAATGTATATTATTTGTGTTTCCCGTTGCATCTTACCTGAAGACTCACCCCATCTTCCTGGTTTTTAGTTGGTCTAAAGCACCAAACGCTGTATATCGTAATTAAATGAGTATACAATTTAGCCGAAAAAGGTTCCATTTCCAGGGAATTTATCAAATGACCTGGTTTCGAAGCGGTTGGCATACTGGGCTTCTGTTACTGAAATGTTAACAATGTTGTTTGATGCAATTAGTACTTAACTGTATCACAGCAAACAGAAACTCGAACCAAAACAAATTAAACGCAGTAAAAGAGTCCTAATACAACAGAGTCAATACCCGTTGGCCCTATAAACTAAATTGAAGTTAGCCTGAGTATCAGGCGTTTCTGGGGGAAAAAGGGAAAGATGGAAGCGAAAAAGGGAGAGAGTTATACTCAGGCTAAATTGAAGTTATATTTCGAAATCGTGGCTCTGGTTCTGATAAACGTTTTGAATTGTGAGCAAAATTAGCGAAAGCTGATAGCGTCGGTCTTGTTGATTAAGCTGCGCTGGGCTTGTCTATTGACGCCGATGAACCTTCTCTTGACACTAGAGAGCCTATGGGTTCACTAGATAGCGCTAACGTTAGTTTGTAGATAAACTCCTTTGAGTTAAGGTGTTTGACGTTCTAAAGACAAATATGTCAGACATGATCTAAATCATTTCAATTAATAATACTTATGAACAAATATCTTGTGGGGTTGTATGATTCTAATTTTGAATTAGGTGTGAATTTTTATTGGGCTTTGGAAAAGTTAATTTGTATTACAACTTGAAACGATTGAATACGTTACGTAATCGTAACTGGAGCCAGCCAACATATTAATTTATAATTATTATGTTAAGTATCAAAATAATTTGTACATTTGAGAAGGGAAAGTATATGAATTGAATATGAATATCGGGCAGGGTTTGCAGTTGCGGCTTCTGGGAAAAATACTGCTTTGTTATTTATCTGGGTTAGTCTTCAATTTCCTGTCTCAGTAAGTGTATAACACATAAGTGTGGAGCTCATCGTGTTGGTCTTAAGAGCTCTATAGAAACGAGATCTTATATTTGCAATTTATCTTCCACCTGTTAGTTCACACTCACTAAAAAGGCCATTATTTATAAATTTGATGCTAATATATGGGAGAAATATTTTCGCTGAAAGGGGGAGATCAATAGGGGAAGCGGGGCACGGGAGGAGGGTGTCAGTCCCAATTGTTACATTACCAAGGACCTAAAGTAAATAATGCGAAAATTCGACGTCGAAAATGGGGGAGGCGGGGCACGGGAGGAGGGTGACAGTCGCAGTTGTTACATTACCTAGGACCAAAAGTAAAGTACGGCGAAAAGCCGGCATCTAAAATGGCGTAGAAAACTATACAAAGAACAAGCTATGGGATAGTTTCATCCAGTTGTTAGGTTTATTGACGAACGGTTTTTTACTCTCCAACTTAAAATGATTATTTAGGTTGCTGCACCGTCTATCTCTTTATGATCTTTAAGCCTTTTTTGTGGGCATAGTCTTATCTCGTATGGGCAAGCACAGCGTCGTCCATGCGCATGGTACGAAAATATAATGAATGGGCATGGGTGTAGATCGGCTTAAATAAAGATATGTAAACCTACCCGTCAGTAGCGGGACTGGCGCATGCAGCGAGCGTAGTAATAAATCGAACTGCTAAGACATTTTCATGGTGCCTTTTTATTGAGCATTTGAGTGAAAATAATTTATAATTTAGTGTCGGATAAACTTGTAAATAATAAGCTCGAAATGAGGTGTAATATTACTATGAATGTTATAAATAATCTCATGCACTTCGATAATATATACACTTGCCACATATACCCTTTTTTCTTGTTGAAAAATATTAAATTCATTTCGATGTTCAGCTTTTGTTGGTTTGTACCTCTTTGAAAAGTGGAATTTTGAGTATAAATTATTATTTCGCGAAATAATGGATAGCATTTTTCGCGCGTTTTGATATGCTTCCGTAAATCGGTATATCCACCAATATTTCCCCCCACCAATTCGGGGGATAGTTGTATAAAAGAGTGTAAAATAAAATTAGATAGTTCGTTAAACATAGCTGAAGAAATTCAGCATTATTGTTAACGGTTTCGATGAAAGAAAGTTCGAAAAGCTTTTCAATTTATTTGGTCTAATTATTGTCGATGGAATGTCTTCAAAAATTAAAACTTCTTACCACCCTTAAGACCCCCAATGCCTTTTTGTCTGAAAACGCTTGCAATACTATGCGTTATGTTCTGCTCCCACATGAAAGCGATAGATAACGGAAACGGAAAAGTTGCAATAAAAAACGAAGGTTTTCGAAAACTGGCTTTAGGGTGGAGTTTTGAAAACGGAAATCTATTCAGCTTTAACAGAGCACTGTTTAGCCTGTTCCAGGCTCCGAGATAGTCGACTCCGCGTGAAAACGCGCAAACACGAAACGAACGGAAGGAAACTACCGCCCCATTTCCTAGATCACGCACTCATATTTTCGCGTGCCTTTCACTAACGCGTCATCCCCACTATCTGAGAGCCTGGAACAGGCTAAGCTCTGTTAGGTGTGGGCTGGCGAGAAATCGCTGACATCATCATCAGCTTTCTGTTTAAAACAAAGCAAGAACACAAGACCTGTAATTATACGTCCGAGGATAGCCTGGCATCAAAAACGCACCTGATATGCGTTTCCGGTCACGGCCTTGTTGTGGACGATCGCGAACGATGCAAAACGGTAGTGTGAAATACAAAGCCTTTGATACGATTTTTACGAAAACTGAGTTTTGCTGGAAAACATATTAGTGTTAACATGGCTTAAAATCTTCCTCAGTTTTAATGTTAAATTCTAAGAACCAGAGTTCGTTTACTTTTTATTCTTCCCTTCCCTTCCAAGATTTGTCGGAACCGGTTATCGTGCACTGTAACGATATTTTTGCGTATTAAACGTTGGTATTTTCTCTTATCAATCCACGGTGTTTATTATTGTTAATGACTATTCATCAACGAATTGAGTAAGGCGCAATAATGCTACTCTTTCGTCAATACTGCACAAACAACAAATTATATTTAAGAAGGTCGGTAAGAAAAAACGTTTAACCAGATGCTGTTTTCCTATGTGCCTTTCAAATTTACATATCTTAAAAATTGTCTATGTACATATGTACAAAGGAGCCTCAGCGTGATAAATAGTTAAAAGTAAATATATAAATATATAATTTCTTTTAAAATGTATTATAAAACTGGAAGGTTCCTGAACAAGTTTGTTTGATCTACTCCATAAACGTGCCCGTCGAAACCTTAAATGATTCTTTATACCCACTGGGAACAAACAGTATAGGTCCTTTGTTCTGTTAGTTCAAAAAAGATGCTTTTGAAACTTATGTATACAAATCTTTTACTGAAGATACATGTACTCAGTGTGGCCAGCGTTCAATGATAGAACATGAGGGCACTGGGGCAAATCAGTGAAATCACATCCTTGTCGTACGGTTCTGCAAGGTGATTGTGTTTGTTGGTGAGGTTCATGTACAAACTGTTAACACATTGTGAAAATGTTTCGTGATTTGAAGTGGACGTGTAATTTCTATTAGGGTGGAGTCAGCAGACCATCTTGCCAAGTTTTCTACCTAGTACCCAGGCGTCTCTTGCAACAAGGAATTCCAAGAAATAAATAACGGCTGCCAGCAGCTGTCTTTCCCATAATGCCTTACGCTTCACTTTCATCAAGTCTTCTGCACGTGACTGCAGTCTTCGATTGTTACGGTTCGTCGATGAGATGGCCGTCTTTCAAGGCCACTATTTTGTCACAGTGTTCAATGGACTTGACTCGATGCGAGATCATAATCACAGTTGAATTCTTTAGTTTATCTCTGATTGTTTCTTGAATGATGTGCTCCGTTTTGGGGTCCACATGAGCTGTAGGCTCATCTAAAATGACGATTTTACTCCCCTGTAGCATAACTCGAGCGAGGCAAAGTAACTGCTTTTCTCCTACACTGAGGTTCATTCCACTGTTAGTTAATGTGTAAGATAGCTTGCCTTGCAAAGTCTCTACTAACTGCTTCAGCTGCACAGCTTCTAACGCTGCCCACAAAACAGCATCACTGTGCTTTCCCAGTGGATCGAGGTTCTTTCGGATAGTCCCACTGAAAACAACAGGATCTTGTCTTAGCACGGAAATGCACCTTCGAGACTGTTGAACGTTCAAATCATTCAGCTTCACTCCATCTATTGTGATTGTTCCTTCAGCCTCGGGTATGCGCATGAGCGCAGCTATGATACTTGATTTGCCGGATCCTGTCCTTCCTACGATTCCAGTCTTTGATTGTCCATCAATGCTCAAGTTTAAGTTGTCTAATACTTTTGCACCCTCAGGATAGTACCTCAGGGATACGCCCGTGAACGTTATTTGACCATTTGTTGGCCACTGCCCGGTTATTGTGGATGCTGTCTTGTAACCTGGTTCAGGGTTAATCTTGGAAATGGCCATCACTCGTTCTACAGATGTCATTAAGCTCTCCACTTCTGCGGACTGTTGAACGCTCACCTGGGTAAAATGAACGGTTTCAAAGACGTAGACAAAAGCAATTCCCACCAGAGCTGAAAATGGAACAGCAAATCTAGTTACATTAAGAATTAATCTGTAGTTATAATGGACGTAAGAATCTTATGGTGAGAAAAAAGTTTACTCAAATGTATTCAACGGGTGTAAAGGTGAAACCCGGCTCCAGGAAACGGATTACGAGAAGTACTTTGACTTTTACCTTTTCGTTGGCTGTCTACGCTATCATTTGTTCCCTACAAAAGCTTGCGCGACCTTTTTCACTTTGAACTTTTCAACTAATTCGATCGTATGTTCCCACACGTTTTTTCGCTCTTGAAGCAGAGTACAGCTATTTGCTTCGAGATCTGATTGGTTCATTCAGTCTTTCGTAACTGGACTGAATTATAGTGTGCTTTATAATACACTCGAGTGAAACCGCTTTGTTAAGGGCTCTGATTAGAAGACCAATTTACCTGCATTATCCTGGGAATTGAAGGCAGCAAATAAAGCCACAACCCCAATTAAGAAAGCAGAGATGAAATCCAGTCGTATTCCCAGCCATCGAGTCCCAGCTAGCACCATGTAATATGACCGGTTGTGGTTGTCTTGATATCTGCGGAGACACAACAGAGTAACTGCTTGTCAGGAGATCAGGCATTCTCTACTCTAAAGTTTACGCTTTTGACTCCGCGCGTCCGTAATCATGCCCAATAGAGAGGAGCTCTGGGATCAAAAATTGTTTTACTCTTCAATGTGAAGAAAACTGATTCATAACGTTTGTTATGTTTTCCTAATGTCGCGGTAGTTCTCAGTTAGAAGAAGTCTTGTATCGGGCATATTTGCCATCGATTTCCCAATTGAACGTCAGATCTTGAGCTTTGGGGTGACTGTTCGACATTTTTTTCAGATTTGGCGGGAGCGTTTCCAGCCTTAATTTTGCTACTTTTTGTTCAGTTCAGAATGAGTGACCCTCTTAACCCTGGTATTTGGACCTGAGTATCAAGAAATACCTTGACAACACCTTGTATGAAGGGTTATTCCCACCATCCTAATGTTCTATATTTCTTGCTTAATGCTCAGAAGATAGAAAGAAAGTAGGTTTAATTCCAACACACCTGTATAGGAGATCAGCAAACTCCTGCTGTCTCTTACGGGTTCTAATAGTATCCAATCCATCGAGTGTTTCAGCAATTTGCGACAGCACAGGGCTACGGCAGACAGACTCAAGTCTCTTTAGCTCCCTAGACGTTTTCAAGAAGTACCGAGCAATGTAGACGTAGAGTATGATAATGGGCACCACAACTGCTGCAAGCCAGGCATTTGCCGCTAATGGAAGAAGCGCTGCGGTCAAAACAAACATCACCAACTGGATTGCAAAGAGAAACGTCTTTGGCAGAACTTCGTCCAGGCAGCCAATATCCTTTGAAAACCGATTGAGAATCCTGCCAACTGGATTTGAATCAAAGAATAGAATTGGTGCTTTCAGGATAGCCGTCGCCATGTTGTTGTGAACGTTTTCAGAAGATCTGAGCACCGCTTGAAAGAAAACGAAGGCGCGGCAGGTTGTAAAAAGAACAGCCGCTGCGACACAGCTCGCGTAGATTCCGATATTTTTTCTTTCCTTCTGCTCTTCGTGAGGCAACGTTGTTAGGAAGGAAAGACATAAATCGGGTAAAACCATTATCCCTATGAAAATAGATATAAATATAACGTTAATTCGTATTTTATGACTGGCTCCGCGAGCGGGAAAAAGGATGCGCTAATAGTTCTGATTCGCTGTCGGAGCAAGGGGACTGAGATGGGCTCGCAACTGAGAAAACAATTCTTAGCCCGAAAAGTTGTGTTCCATGTCCCATTTACTTCCCAACCATATTTTCCTAAAGCTTGCAAATGGTAAAGAACCTGTGTTCCCCTGTGTTACCCTTTGTTTCCCTGTGTTACCCTGTCTTACCCGTTGTTACTCTGTGTTACGTTGTGTTACCCTTTGTTCCCCTGTGTTACCCTGTGTAAGTCCTTTATCGACCAAACTCTTGTTCGGTCAAGATAGCTGGGTTTTGGCCTTGTGGGCCTTGACGTCGTCACCATCCGTACACTGCGCAAGAAAAGAACTTCACCAATATACAACTGCACGAACCCAGGCTATTGTGAGACAGCCATCCAGCTTGAAAACTGTTATCCCGCCTTTTCTCCTGGCCTAACTGACTGCCCTGGGTCTCCGAGGATATAGGACAACTGACCAATCTGATTTTAATGGTCTTACCAAAGGCTTTTCACAAAAACTTTAAAGTTACGAATCTAACTCTTATACCCATGAGAACTAATAAGCTTTGTTTGACCAATGTATAGACGTCCTCTTACCTTGGGAAAGGATAAAAATGATGATCAATGCAACTAAAGCAACAGGATTTAATCCTGCCCTTAAATAATCCCAGTACAGCTTGAAGGACACCGTGCCGGTCACACGATCTTCCTCTGGAGTGGCCATACTTCTACTAGATTTGTCCAAAATGTTCTCTGACCTGTCCCACTGAGCAGCCATGGATTGTCTTTCAAGCAATAGTGTGTTCCTGGCTTCATTGCCTATTCTGTTACTACGAGGCTCTAAAAAGTCTTTTCCTGCTTCGTCTTCGTGAAGTTCCGCAAACTTCCCCTTAGCGATAACTGAGCCGTCGCGCAAGATTATTACTTGATCTGCTGATTTGATAGAGTACTCCTTGTGTGAAACCATTAGTCGGAGTTTGTCTGACAGCATCCCCAGGATGCAATGTTTGAAGATGAAATCACCGACATTTGCATCAATTGCAGCCAGCGGATTGTCCAAAAGATAGATATCGCAATCAGCATACACTGCGCGCGCCAAACTGACACGAGCCTGCTGACCACCACTTAGGGTGTTTCCGCGTTCACCGATGACAACTTGATCTCTGTCAGGAAACCTTTCAATGTCCTCTTCTAACGCACAAGCGTGGATTGTTCGAAAGTACTTTTCAGACTGGAATGGCCGACCAAAGAGAATGTTTTCTCTCAATGTCCCCGAAAATACCCACGGTATTTGTGGTACGTATGCAATGCTGCCAGATACCTCGATATTTCCTGCAGTAGTCGGCATTTCACAAGCAATCAAAGATAACAAAGTCGACTTTCCACTTCCCACCGGACCGGTAATGACGGTCAAGGTCTTATCTCTTGCTTCAAAAGTGATTGATCTCAGCGGAGTTTTGTTATCATCAATGATTTTACATGCCACATTGCTTAATTTGATTCCTGCTTTTGTGTCTGGCTCACATGCCTTCTTTAATTCTGTTTGACTTAACCCCAGACTTGAAAGAGGATTGTTTCCGTTATGGTCATCTTGAATTTTTACAAACTTGGTTATTATGCAAGATTTTTTAGTGTACTCGTTGAAGTATGTCAAGCCATCAGAAACGTCCACAACCACTTTGCCAATACGTTTGTTCGCGAACAACAAATCCTTCCCATTTTTACTTGAGTGCTTTCCGTCAGTCAAACAATGCATTTCTGGTAGCACCAAAAACTCTTGTATTCTGCCAAATGAAACGTACGCCTCGTAAATAAAATGCAGCCCTTCTGCTATAGATCTTAAGGCACTGTTTCGGAGCACATTTATTATTGACAGAAGTGTAAACACTTTAAACGGTGTCAAGTTGGAACCAGTAAATACGAGTGTCAAAAGAGAGATGAACGCTGCGACAACGCCAGAAGTGTACATCATAGAAATACCACAAGATACAAGGACACTCTTCTGGCGAATTATCTTCATTTCCTCCCTGAAAATAAATAGGAAAATTATCGTTTTTTCACTTATCTCCTAGATGTTCGTAATCAGGTATTTTTACAGAGTTAGCAGTCAATGAAGCATCCTAATATTGACCCCGAAAAGGCAAGCCAGCCATTTTTAACCGATATTCAGAGGAGATCGCGAATTCTGATCCGGGGGCCGTACCAATACTCAGGGTCTTGGAATAACTGCCATTGCCCTGCAAAAGGCTAGACCTTCTTTTTTGTTGTTGCTCAGCCTTGTTAGTTTTTCACTAAATTTCATTGGTAAGCGTTTTTATTATCAGTTTTTTGTGGAGGGTATAAAGCATACTGAGATTTAATCTACAGTATGACTTCTTATACCACTTACTTTCGAGTCTCCTGGATTTGTTCCAGAAAGAACCATTCCAACGCATGTGTCTTCACTTCACGTATTCCAGCCACTATCTCAGCCATAAGGTTTATTCGCCTATCTGAAACAGCAGCGGTCTTTAGTCGGAGCTTTCCAGCAAGGTATGTAAGGAAGCCACCAAATGGCACCAGAAGAAGCAAGAACACGAGACTCATTAACGCCTGCCAACCTATGAAGTGCCACATCAACGGGACAGCAACAGTGACATCGAAGATGGCGACGAGGAGCCGAAAGAACTGCCTTGCAGCTTGCTCCATTCTTTGAAGATCATTGGACACGAGATCAATCACGTGACCTTTAGTAAATCCGTTCAGTGTTTGTTGACCAAGGAGCAGAATCTAGATATTGAGAACGAGGATACAATCAAGCCTATGTAAAGTGTATTTATTTGTCAGTCCAATTTATCTACTGTAAGCTACTTCAGTATTTCGATAGAGAATGTCAGATCCTCTTTCACATGAATAATCGTTTACTGCGACTCTCAATTCTTTCTATCTGTAAGCCTTTGCCATTTTCAATTTTTTTCGTATATAATAGATACATTATCTAGAGGAACGTGGAAAGCCCCACCTTGCTACAATAGCTCACGCCTACATTACAACTATCGTTCTACATTTTTAGAGACCGTATATAAGTCACCTCGCAAGTCAGATTGTGCGTATTCGCATTCCCTCATACCCAGCATTCCGATTCAAAATAGGTTTTCCTTTTTACAAACACATAATGAATAAGCAGCAAAGAAAGGAGCGAACAAAGAGTTAAGGCCAAGAAAACCTCTCTGATCCTCTTTAGTCATGTTTTTCCTCTGCTGTTTCATTCTTCTATTTACACTTATTTGGGTGTGGTCGTTGTTGAGGTACCTTTTTTAAATACGAATACTGCTAATTTGGGGGCCTACGTCCTACGGGCAAGGGGTGCAGTTAAGGACTTAGGTTATTGTACACTCAACGGGTGTCCGTTTGATACATTAACGAAAAAGAATGAATGCCAGTCTTAATAAGGACGGTGTATGATCGTTTATCCTGGTACCTTTAAATAAATCAGCATTCCCCAAAAATCACAGCCGGAAGTCGAAACGTGACGAGGCACTTAAGGAATGTCTACGTAGGAAGCTCTGAATGACCTGAGTACACTATTTCAACATTCACTGCCCAAATAAAGTTTGTTACGTAATCAAGATGTAATTCACGGTAACTTCTAAGATAAAAATGTGTCTCAAACCTTTGTTTGTTTCTCAAACGAAGAATGATGATGACTCTGGGACACAACGCAACTGACCCTACAAGAGACTGTGACGTTGTTATTAACGTCGTAAAGGAGGGAAATCTGACCTCGCATGCACTTTGGTGAAGCTAATCACCTGGATTACCTTGTCCCTGGGAGGTCTACGTGATACTCACTCTCAACTTACATATTGAACGTTCAATTCAGAACGCTTATTCAGAGTTCATCTGTACCGTGAGAATGATATCTAAATCCCAACTTATCTCTAATAATTATTTGGTTCCCATCGTTGTTCTAACCACAAAATGACATAAATCTTACCTAACTCAGACGAAATCCGGAAAGCGTGCTCTATTACATGAAGGAAAACTCACCTTTTTGAATATAAGACCTTTGAGCGAGGCCTTCATTCGCATCCCAATTACATAAAGTTTGAAACTGCTGTGATGCACGGCGACACTTTTCATCACTACAACCAACAGCATTAGCAGGGCACAGCAAGCAAGTAGGGCTTGCTCTGGGGTGCTAGACACGAGTGTGGAAATGAAAACTCCCAAAAAAAAGGGCTGAAGAAATCGCCCCACCGAGTCCAGAAATCCAGCAAAACCAATTATACAGAGTTCTTTGCGTGACAACACTTTCATGGCTGTTTTCCATAATCGTGGGTCTTTGTCGTTTTTAAGATCTTTCGTCCATTGTGATTGCAGTTGTTCTGTCAATAGACAAGTTTTGTCTTCGTCGTGCAGCGGCCAAAAGTCTGACTGTTGCAGAGGGCGCTTGTTCCCCGTTTTGAATAAATCGTTCGTCCACCAAAACAAAAGAAACGAAATCCAGTTGGCTTTGCTCTGGGGATGTTGAGGGACCTCATTACTGCTGGCTTCTCTGTCCATTAGTCTTAAAACGAAAGCAAAATTAGTTGTGAGTAAACAAAGCAAAATTACATATTCATTTAAAAAGGATTTGTTTAGTTTATATGCAACAGGTAAAGTTTATCCCTTAGGGCTAGGGTGTGATTTGATGACTTCAGACAGAATCTATAATTTTTTGCTAGCTCGTTGAGACATTTCGTTTGACATGAACGATGATTGCTTTGTTAGACAACAGAATGACGGCATTTAAAGAACAAATTCGATAACGGGTACGGTACAATTGAACAAAAACACAACTGATTTACCTTTTTCCCAGTTTGAGGCCAAAAAACACTCGATCCGTCATTATCAATGAATACAGAACTACGAGAAGAAACTTATATCAACCTATTGTAGCTGAAGGATCGACTTAACATGTGAAAATGACATCTAATACTTTCACTGCTATATAAAAAAAATAAACGAAGTTGACCTCAGCGATTCATTTACCAAAGGTGCGAATTGTCAAGTGCAGATGTACATAGAGGTCGGGCGAAATTTGTGTAAATTGTTTGCGGATATGACGTGCATGTGAGTATCCTGCTAACAGAGTTTGTTGGCGCAAGTCTGGGCAACGACATGTGGAAAGATACGTTTGTTTGATAAATATGGAAAATTAAAACTTTTGATCCTAAGATGATCAGCACATTTTATCCTCGCCGAACATAATCTAATCTAAGCCAAACACTCTAGCGTCAGTTTCGTAAACAATAGTACTAAAAGGAGTGGGCACGATGGAGAAATAAAAAGGATGACTTTTCCGATTTTGTTGGAGGAAAATAAAAAATAAGAGAGGCTCATTTCACATTTATACATAAAGAGAATTAAGGACCGGAGCGAAATATTTGTTTAAGACAAACTTTTTCGACCTCCAACTGAATAACGTCGACAGAAGATAAACGACAAGTTAAGGACACCTTCTCTTTAACGCAAAATGTTCCGTATATAAAAAGAGACACAGTAGAAGGTTTCCGCATGAGATTTATCAACATTATCATAGTGTTGATTAGTGATTGTTCTGGTTGGCCTTGATTTTTTTAAAGTCAGCTCATGATTTTGTGGTGGTCTGGATCTCGAAGGTCTGGATTGCCCGTACTGCATTCACAACTTCAGTGAAAGGAAAGTTTTGCGTTTGTTGGTGTAGGCCTTGCCCACGCGATAAAACCTCGCTCTTATTGATCCTTATTCGCCCCCCAGGCAAGTTGTCGATCCCATGCCTGAGATGGCATCATAAGTACAAGTCAAGAAAGAAGACACTCGGGGACTTGTAAAACTAATTCAAAGTAGACAGACTGCAAATTATGTTAGTTGCTAAAAAATATATATCTACGTGTCGCAACTGTTATGTATAAGACTAAATATTATTGTGTGATCACGTTTTGATGTCCTATACGTGGTGATGACCGAAGGGTATAATGTCAATAAAGGAAGACAAATAGAGGAACATGCCAATACTAATCACAAACAATAAGGATGCCTTAAATTTGGCACAGATGACGCACGAGCTTTTGCTGACACTGACGGGTGACATGTACGGTTTACAGAAGGGGTTAACTTGGATCATAGTTGATCAATTCTTGTTTTCTCCTTCAAGTATCACTTTTTTTCGAGTACACCAGAACCTTCGGACTATACAAATGGTTTAGACGAATACGTGGGCCGCAGTTGCAACACAGGCTAACCAGATCACAAAAATAATAATAATAAAAATTATGGTTAATGTGATTGTCAAAATGTTTTCAGATCCAATGGTTACCTTAATTAAAATAATCCGTGATGGAATTGGAAGAACAGGTAAACCAGTTCTCTCGGTTGATGACGAACAAGAAGCTCTGTATCGGTGGTGTTCATCAGTAGGCTTGTCTCGGGTGCATTAACTTTCTATTTACCTTTTCGGAAAACCAGTTTTATCAGTTTTTGACCTTTAAAAACTCTGAACGTTTTGTCGGGGTTTACAGAAATGTAACTTTAATGACGGCTGCTAGGCTTTGATAAATTGTCGGCTAGCATAATTTTTGGCACCATTCGTCATCACGAGCATAACTTTCATCTATTTTCCAATAAACACTGCTAGGATAATTTGGGACCTGGATCCAACAGGACTTTCCACAGGAGTCATTCTTTGAGTTTTTACAGGAACCCATCCAGGCTCCTGCTTTTTTAAAGCTGTCAGACATGAATTTTTTGTTCCAGTGGCTCACCTTTCTACATTCATTTATCACTGCCAATTTCGAGAAAATACTTTGAAAGACAGTGAAATCCAGGGAACATGCACTCGTAAATATGCAGACGTCTCTTGAATGTAAATAAGGTAAATGTGTTTGCTATTTACATTTTTGTTGCATATTGTTATACTGAGGTGTTTTATACCAAATTTTAAGGAACAAGTAAAAGCATAATGTATGTATTTTGTTTTTGCTAAAATAACTAGAATAATCACCGGCCTATTTTTTGAAATATACGAGCACTGCTAGTAACATATGCTACTTTTGCGAACAAAATATCCAAAGCTATTAATATTTTCTAATTAAAAAGATCAATTCAGTTTTCCCATTTTGGAGGCTTGGTCCTCGTTTTGGTATGTTTCTTGTTTTTCTGGCATCATCTATGCTTTTAGCAGGAAGTGATGTAAAAGGAAGCCTTTGTATCAACAAGGAAATAACCGATTATTCCGGCGACATGTGCGGCCAACTCCATCCTTGAATCAGGTGTTTAAATAGGTGTTTTAAATCTACTTCCTTCAATCAAACTTCTTAAGAATCCATTTATAATAAATTCATGAGATATCATTCTCTTGATAGGATATGATAGAATAGTTTGCCCATTGATTACATGAAAATTAATGACCCTCTTTAGTTTTTTAATCCTTCATAACCGCACATTATTTCGGTTTCGATGCTTTGACAAAGTGGCGTCTTCAATTCCTGGCACGTTTCTTTAAAACACGCTTTTAAAGTAAAGTGAAAAATATACCCAAGGCGCAGGCTAGTTACCAAGCACTGAATGGTAAAAATGGTGACATTTCCTTTTTTAAGTACTGTCAATGATTTTCGCCCGTTGCCTCGCTTATTTGACCGTGGTCAAACTCTCTCTTCAATTCCCAGCCCCTTTGGAAAGGCCGATATTTCAGTTGAGTGTATTGTGTCATGAAATCCAGCGATTGGTGGTCAAACTCCCCTTCAAATCCAGTCCCTTCTTCAGGATGGCCGATATCTCTTTTCAGTGTGTTTTTTGACTTTGACATTCAGTGATAGAAAAAATTATCTTTAAGTTAAAATATTTTGACAATTGGTATTTTGAGTAATTCCTACAACAGACAAAACCTTTTGCTCCCTTCCTTTTGTAATGTTGTTTTAGCCATGTAACTTTGCAACCAAATCTCAACATTGCACGGGGAACTACAAGAGAAGTGCATGGGTGTTTGAAGAATTTTTGACGAAGATTATCAAATATAATTAATTCCTAGCATAAGACAAATGCCACCCTCAATCAGTTAGTCACAGTCAGTACCAAGTCCTTATGAAACTATCCATCGAAATATTTCATATAACTAACCCATTCTCTCTTCTATTCTCTCTAATGGATCCAAACGGTAAGCTGCCGCAACTGAAATCATCAGCCTGTTGTGCCATCCATCAAAAGTTACCTGAACCTCACCTGGCAGACAGGTGAAACGGGAAAGTGCATGAATGAACGGATTAAGGAACATAACATCGACGATTTCAGACCTGAGCCATTTCCTACTGACAATTAAGTCTGAGACTAGGCTCGTTTACCATTCGCTGTTCGGAAAAATTAGCCCGGACTCATGAGGAACAATGTCCGGACTTGGGAGAGCGGCGGAAATCGAGCCTACTTTGGTTTAGTAAAGCGAAAAGACTGCGAACGACCTCAAACGTCTGTGAATAAGGCTAACTTTGGTTCGAGGTTAAATAAATTGAGGAGGGCCTCACTGGAACCCCCGCAGGGTAGAAGAAGCTATTCCTATAAGACATCGCCCTGACAACATCAGTCAGTGGAGTTCAGAGGCCTGGATGCTTAAGTACATGAGACGTCGAGATAGCAGCTGATCGGTATACCACAACGGACCTCTGAGAGATTTAAAAACTGGTAAAAACTCACACATTCATCAACCATGAGTGAGTGAGGGACGGACCATTAGAAAACTTATGGGGGGGGGGGTGCGAAGTACAAAAAAAAAATTCATGCACGCCAATTAACCCGATGAAATATTCATGCTATGGCCTTAAAAAATTCATACAAGGAATTTGATAACGAAAAAAAATTTCTGCGGCTCGAAAATTCCCCACCCCTCCATAACTTTTCTAATGGTCCGTCCCTAATCATGACCAGTCACAAGCAGCCATTGTGCTTCTAATAGTCCCCCGCCAGTAAATCAACACCAACGCCTGATGACGACCAGCTGTACGCGGCTAAACTGGTTGCGACAACTACACGAACCTTTCATCATTATAACACTTCCATTCCAAGCATAAAAATGGCAACTGATCAGCTTCACATTAATTGCATTTATAACGAAAGTGTGAGCTGGGAATAAGGAAAAACAAAACACTGACAGCCTACTTATAGTTGAGACTGTATTGAGCCTTGCTGTCAGTTCTTTAAGCGGATTCTCTTAACGTTTTTCTATATTGACGCCACAACACGACCAAAAAAATCCCAAATAATACCCATAAAGGTATTTGGCAGTTTTTGTATCGGTGAATTAGTGCTATGAAGTACCTCTGTTCAGTAACTGCTGCAATATATTACGTAATAAATGTTTATCGCCTTATCTTATTTACAAATAACCTATTTCAAAATAACAGGATCATTGACTTGATCTGATATTCTTTTTGGCCAGTCAGTGCAGGAACCCGCTTTAGTCTACTTAGAGCTTGCGGCCTTGTAAGAAAACGTGACTAGATAATGTTTACTTACTTTCCTGAGGGATCGTCTCTCGTCCATAGAGATTTTATCCTTATGCAACATTGATTAATAAAGTCCATACTTTACTCCTTTTCCTTGACAACTGTTAATCATTATGCTAAAGAATGCATCGTTTCACAATTATCAGTGTAAAAGGTAAAACCCCCTGGCAAATTGCCTCGTGCCTTTTGAAGTCAACAGACTGAAACACGTTTAAGTCTGGAATCTAAATAAAGAAGCCATTCCTTAATTTTTTATTTATTAAGAGGGTGGTGGAATGTCCGGTGAGCTATCCGATATTCGATAGATCGCTCAGTTACAAAGGTCTCTAACCCGGGGAGATGTTTCTCGAAAGTCCCAATAATTTTTCGGGACCGG